CTGCTGTTGATTCTGGCAGTGGTAAACACATACTCAGCGTGAAAAGCTGAAAATATGACAGCGACCAACGTCAGGGCCAGCGTTCGAAGCTGAAATTTCCCGAACTGTCCTATTTCCTCTACTAAAATCGTATCCAAATCCACCTTCGCGTCTCGACAATCACTTTCCTTTCTATCAAGAGTTTCCGCAGACATTGCTAGGCTGTTATTCTGTGTGAATATAAATGATATCTCGAGACCTTTATCCGTTGCACATTTCTTTATAACCGTTGTAATCTGATATTGTGTTACAACGATATGGTTCAGAGATATTGGTTTGTGATCATTTTTAAATATATTGAATGAATGATTTATTTTATTTCAAACAACAACAACAACAAGTCCGTGTACATAATATCATTGAAACATACTTAAAATTACCAAAACCAATCAAATAAAAAAGATACATTTATTAAAAATAATTATCAGTTGCATACATTTGAAATATTCCATTCAACTGATACTTACTTGTAATCAACCATTATTATTATTTTTATTTTTATTTAGTCCGCAAGTGAACCATGGTACAATGGTTCAAGTACCGACAGTCATAACCTTCTGTTAATGCCTTCAGGATGCTGTTAGGGCTGACCCGGACCCGGCGAATCAGGGATGTGCACCTTTTCCGCATGGTCGTAAATAAACAATCGACTCGTGCCTCGGCGAACATTCCCGACGCGCTACAGAACCGAGGCAGCCCCAACAACACCCTGAACGCATTGTTGTATTGAACGCGTAAGGCGCTGTACTGCTTTTGACTATAGAGCACCCACAGGCTGCACGTATAGAAGGACGTACAAAACGCTCTAAATAGAGTGATTTTGACATCCCGCGAACATCGAGCGAACCTGCGGGCAATCATATTAGCTCTTACAGACAGCGCTCTCCGCCCCCGCTCAATGTCTGCATCGTCCCTTAGGTCAGAGCTTACAAAGTGTCCTAGGTATTTAAGCTTGTCTACTCTGCGTAGTGGCGTACCATTCAGCTTGACGGCGGGAATGTTATCCAGACACTTGGCCCTACCCTGAAACACCATACACGCACTTTTCTTTGCTTTATAAACCAGACCGTGATTTAGAGCATACCTTTCACATATGCCAAGCAGCTTAGAAAGCCCACGGGCCGACGCACTCAGCAGCACCATGTCATCAGCATAACTGATATTATTGAGACATATTTCATCAATATGGCAGCCGACATGAGTACTGCTGAGCTCCCATTCACATATAGGTTGAACAGCTTCGGCGAGGTCAACCCCTCTTGCCTCACCCCGCACTCCATCCCGTATGGCCTCGAATAGACACCCAACCATCGTCCCACGTTCAACTGGTTGGCGTACCAATATTTGAATATCTTTACTAGTTCATTCGGCATTTTAGTATTACTCAGTTTTGCCATAAGATGTCATAACAAACCAGGTCGAATGCCTTTGATAAATTGAGGAAACAGGCAAAAATTGGAGTTTTTCGATCAGTATAGTACTTGACAGTTTGCTTCAAACACAATATGGCTGTTTCTGTAGACATTCCTGATTTAAAACCAAACTGGTTATCATGTATCTGAGGATATTTATCAAGTTGTATGTTAAGCAAACGCTCTCGTGGCCGATCAGCCACAACGTGGACAGAATTGGTTAACTTTTCTACGAAGTGTTCCCTTGTTGAATGAACACGTACCGCCACAAATAGAGAGAGATGAGATCTCTCAAAAGCCGCAACCAAACATTAAGACATACCTACGTAACCACGACCACTCCGCCAGGAGTGTACGACTGAGAAGAATTACCCAACCTAGAATCAAACTCCAACTGTTTATATGCCGGACGATCAACATTCCACTACGCTATGAGGTACAAAATAAAATATAATATATTGACCAATATAAACCAATAAATATATTGAGTGAAGCAATGACCTTTGATATTTATTTCGCCGGTACATCGAGAAATCATAATTGCACGATAATCTAGTAAATAAACTCCCAGCTATGTGTTTGTGTTAGATTATAATAATATGAACTAGGAATATACAAGGAAGTATAATTTAAGTATAACATTCTAACTTTTATACCATTGGCCTTAAAACTTAAACGAAATTAAGATATGTTTCAATGCGAACATTTCAATTACATTACTACGAGCTTAAAATTTCATATGAACAATCTTGTGTACAATTTTTCGGTGGCAATTTTTAATAGATTTTTTTTTTGTCAGCAGGAAGTCACCGGAGTTCCGCCCTCCACTGAGGATGGAGGGCGGGGCATGTCGGAGTTGAACCGACTAAAACCTCCTGTCGCTCAACAACCAGCATCCGAACCTCGCATGAGACAGAACTCATGAAAAGACAAAGGGAGGAAAGTGAAGCGCTTAGTGCGGAGCACATCTCTCCCATCACCCTCCCCCTCGGGACGCCGGACTGGCGGTCGTCGGCGCCAGAATTTAATATAAAAAATTTAATAGAATCATTACTACAAAAACCAAAAGCTCCTGTGCTACTGAGATAGCAATAGTCCAATCGAGCGAAATGGAATCATTCACAAGCCGTTGACCCGTTGTTCGCTATCGCATTTTTTCGAAATTTCTAGGCTCCTACGTTGTGGGCGTTTGTTATCGAATGTTCTAGAAAGAATTTGATTTCCAGTACCAACGAATACCTTATATAGTCATTATGAAGCTATCACTGGTTAAAGTGCGCGGTTTTCATTCATTGTAACAACTATCACCGCTCCGACTTTTTATGACCCAAACTGCAGCGACAAAATAACTCTACTAATAGTTTGTTTGTGTGTAATGTTTTTTTGCATTAATTTTATATTTTTTAGAATTTTGTTGCGACGTAACAATAGGGTGTGAATCTTTATGGCCTGCAAGCGAACGATTGCCTGGTGAAGCCGCAAAAATCGAATAAACGAGGAGATGAACTAACGGCCTGCCTTGTATGTAACGCTTGGGACTGGCGGAGCGATAGTAAAAATGGGATGACGGGGGTTGTAGATGTGCTCCCTCCATATATGCAAAAAAAGTTCCTCAAGCCATCAACGAAGCAGTTCCTAGATTTTTAGTGAGATCTGATGCAAGCTAGATTCGCCAGGTATCCAGAGAAAAATTTAAAAAAAACTTGCTTAACGTGCTCATAGCAACATCTGGACCTCTAAGTATATGTACTCGCTCAGTGGAAAATAACCCTTGTGTAACCGCGGGCCGAAAGTTCGGGCACCAGTCTATGCAATAAAAAGTAAAAAATCAAATCAAATACCCTAACCTCTAGTGACCACGAAAACTGTGAGTCTTCCAAGGGTCAGATAAAGTAAAATGACTTTAACCCGGCGTCATGGGGGTGGAAAATGACTACACGGACGTGGGGGTGGGTCATATTTACCCGATATTTTGACTTAAGATATTTCAATAATATTAAAATAAATATTTTTTTTTGTGGTAATGACTTTATTGTCTTATGGTTTAGTAAATAAAACAAGAATTTGTATTGCAGAATATCGTAATTAAATCTTTAAACCTTCCAAAACATAAACACGTAAAAATCAACGAAAATGGCGTTCCTTGGCCTAATCTCATATTAATTTGCAATAATTGATAGTCTTTAATTATTTATAGCACTTTTATAAACTTAACTACGATATCAGTAGATAAAACTTACTTAAAACGAATCAGAATCATCGTTGTGAATACAATCACTGCAGAAAAGTACGACATGTTCAGATCAAATATATTTGTTTGCAACCATAACATGTATGGGTTGTTTGGCAGTGTTTTTTCGCAGGACATACCTAACATCTCTTATGAGTATTGGGTCTCTTAGCTGGAGGCATTTTCGAATCTTCGCTAACAAATAATCCTATTTTTTTCGCATTTCTCGAGGCAAACGTATCACATTCTGGCGGACTCTCAGATGCTCACTCACAAGGGCAAGGCCTAGTTTCATCAGGTATAGACATCGCTTTTGGTTCGACTCATTATTGATTCCATGTATGTATGTAAGTCTGTTGACAGTAAACATGTTCAAAAAGGCGTGGAAAACTCAAAGATCAGTTTTTTTGAATTGCAACACACGTCATATTATTATGTAGCGTACAACTCATCAGCCATATCCACTCCATATTTTATTGAATTGTAATACGTATTGATTTACAACTTTTGCTTTTCTCCAGTTGAATTATCAATACTGTTGTTATGGTGCAGACTTCACATCAGCAGACTCCTGATCAGAGGAAATGACATCCGAGTCATATGCTTCAAGAATTGATAAAATATGTTCTCGTTCTCCTTCCTCACGATCCATTTTTTTCGATATACCAATAAAAAGATAGTAAAATAGTAAGAAACGATAGTTCAAACATAAAATGTAAAATAACAACACTTAAAACAATGAAAAAACATAAAAGCCATATTTGGAAACAATGGCGCAAAACTGTTACACCGAGTACGGGGATGGGTCATATTTACCCTTTTTTAACTTTGGTGACAGTTAGCTCCAAGCACGGTCGCAGCACAACAAAATAATTGTAAACAATGCTTAGAGGAAGTCATAAATTCCAGCTATTGAGAGGTACGGCATCGTCACTTGCGCAATTACGAATCTGTAAGCTAACAAAAACGTCTCGGGTCATTTTGACCCAACCCCCATGACACCGGGTTAATAAAAGTGAAGTGAAACCGTATCGAGTTAAAACTATTTAAAATTATATTTATCGTCTTGTCTGGTATAGGATGTCCCAAAATTAACGCAAGATTTGAATTAAATAGAACATCACGTTCAGTGGTTCAAAATTACAAAGAAACCAAATAATAAATATTTAGTACTGAAAAAAATTTTTATTTACAAAATAATTCATCTTATAAAAACTTAATATTAACATCAGTGAGCATAAAACTATTTGGATGAACGATATGAATGTTCTTAATCATTTTAGTTTAAATATTACATCCCTTTTCCTCTTTAACTCTTATTATATTTTCTCTTCTTCTTTCTTCTGTCCGATTTCGGAAGCCTGCTCCATGGTGTCAGGCAGCGTGGTACCGAGGGTCTCGGGGGTGAGGAAGATCAGGGCACCAGATAAAAGAGCGAAACTTGCGAATAGGACAAAGGGCATGTCGTCAAACGTTGCCGCTCCCTGCAACAATCAAACCGGTTAACCGGGTCTGCCCTGTTATAATCAGTATTATGTTCTTATGTTATAACATTTCGATACAAATCAATTAAACAAAGGGTGAAAGGATAATTATATTACATAAAAAAAAAACTAATTAAATTTCTTTAATTACAAAAAATAGAAAAATCGATTATTATTTTAAATCTCCTTTGATTATAATTTTTGGAGTTTACTCCTTTAGAATCGATTTACATATATAGGCCCGGGGTATGAAAATTATGGGGACCAAAATCGTACTAGCATGTCACACGAAATGCGTTATGCGCCTGATTGGCTCCTGATTGCGTGATGCGTGCGCGCGCCAATCAAAATCGTACTAGCATGTCACACGAAATGCGTTATGCGCCTGATTGGCTCCTGATTGCGTGATGCGTGCGCGCGCCAATCAGGAGCCAACGCGCGGCCGCGTTATTGCAGGTGACGCCGGGCTGCTGCGCCGGCAGTCCGCCACAAAGCCTCGTACTGATCGCGCGTTTCTCTCATTATTGTATTTTCATATATTTGTTAGTCGTTTGTTTTGTGTCTCGTTAATTTGTTAATAATCTGTAGTGTATCGTGTTGTCGTAATATAGAACTATTTCTCGTATTGTTTCGTTTAATTTTTTATATCCAGTAAACTCCAGTCGTGCGTCGGAGCGGACACACACACTTTTTTATCAAAAGTGCCAAAGTTATAATTCTCAAATAATAGATGAATTGAATTTCTTGAATTATCAATTAAAAATAAAATTATAAATTATTAGAATTAATTAATTTTATTGAGCAATCTTGATAAGACTAAAAAAATTTTTTTTTTACTTTTAAAATTTGCGGCCCTGAAAAATTTGCCGCCCTGGGCACTGGTCCCGACTGACCCTAATGTAAATCCACCACTGATTAAAAATTAAGTGTTGATTCAGAATTACAATGACAAGAAGTAGCAGCAAGAAGCAAGAAGTAGAAGATTAGAAAGTAGCAGCAGCTTGGCTTTACTCCTGGTACTGATGTCCAGGAACGACCCTTGCCTTGCAATAAAAATGAGTACAATAGATTGAGGGGAAAAGGGCCTAGGAGTTGAATAGAGATAAATCTGGATTGTCACAATACTATTGTCGGGTTGTTAGAGATTTAACTCTGTTGAATTGAAAATGACTTTTATTTATTGTTCAAGAATATTAATAGTCGAATTTAGTTATCAAAGTTTTGTAACTGATTAAATACATTGAAAAGTTAACTACCTAAAGGTAGGTGCCTACCTAGCAATAACTGAGCAGCACTATCCTTATCGAAAACTCTATTGTCCCCATGCGTGTCCCGATTCACCCCAATTCCAAGGTGAATTGGTTTTTGTCCATATTTTGCAATGACCTTATGTATAATAATCCATCGTATACGAAAATTTAAGCCTCCGGCACCATTTTAATCTCAGTTTTATAAGAAAAATCGCTGAAATTTTATGTTGGAATTGAAATGTGTCCCGATTCCCCCCAATCTACTTAGGTACATACATATTACATAGAAGTTAAGAAGTCCTAACCAACCAACGTTCCTCTGTGGTGTTTTTATAGCGTATAGAGTATCTACGGTGCGTACTGATTTATCAGTGCCCTACACTATCTCCGAAAACTCGGACATAATGGTTTTATTCAAAGAAGATTTGACTTCCCAATAACAGATAATAGTTTGTATATGTTGCTTCCCAACAAAGAAAACTGCCAATGTGACAATGAAAAAAGTATTGAAATTAAAATACTCACAAATGCAGGAGTCAAAGGTGCAGTAATGGATCCAATCCTGCCCATCATCGAAGAAAAGGCGAACAGACTGTGTCTATATTTGGTGGGATATAACTCGGCGGTGTACACGTAAACCGAGGTCATTACCATCGCTATACTGAACTTGCCAATCAGGTACAGCGCTAGGGAGGCTCCGTATAAACCTTAGAAGAGAAATTAAAATTATTAAAGTTTGTATTTGTTTTCGAAGGAAATATTAAATTGAACTATTTAATTAAAAAGTTCAATTTATTGCGTATCTCAAACCTCAAGGAATTGAACATTACAAGGAATCAGCGAAGACTAAATCAATTTCAATTTATTTAACTTTTAAAGACCTTGCTCTAGACTAGAGAACTTGTTCAGTGTGTATACATAATACATAGTTCAGAACACGCATTACCTTTAACGAAACATAATATACATAAATATGAATTACGTCACATTTATATGTATATATATCTGTCTGTAATCGAGTTCATGATAAATGCAAAATTGCATGAATATCAAATTGAAAATAAAAAATTGTGGTCAAGAAATTTTCTTAAAGTACCAAGTACCTAGTTTGGTAAATTTTCTCTACCGACAGTAATAATTACAGACCAATTTACTAGTAATAATCAGGCAAAACAACAGCTTTTATGACAAGCACGTATTAAACATCGAATAGAAAAAATAGTTTAAAATGCTTACCGTCCGGCATAAATATGTATCCAAGCTGACAGGCAGCGCATATCCAGAAAGCCCCAATCAATACCGGCTTTCTGCCTATCTTGGCCATCAGAAACACGGCGGACCAATAACCAGGAATATCAGCAGCCGCCACTGCAATGTAGTTTAGATGTCTATTTCCTGACATGTTCACAGCATTGATGGAAAGGCCGTAGTAAACAAAAGTATTTGTTATCCACCAGACCGGAGACACGATACATCTAATCAGAATTTTCTTATGTCTAAATACTTGAACTATCAACCAGGGCTCGTTGACTCGCTCCGCTTGTTCTAATGCTTGCTTTTTCTTTTCTTCTTCAGCGGTTTCCCTCAGCGCCACCAGAGATTTATCAGACAACTGCTTTTTATTAACTTTAGCTATCTTCTTTAACAACGCTTCAGATTCTTCGTATCTTCCTTTACTCATGTACCACCGGATGGATTCAGTCATGATCCATAAGTATGAGATGGTAAATAGTTGAGGAAGATAGAGGGCGAGGGTGAACATTCTCCAGTTTGGGACAGCCCAAGCGATGAGGCCCATGGTTATCTGACCGATTGAGAAGAAGGTGTTCATTGTCGCACCAGCTGCTACCCGGTACTTCGGACCAACGATTTCCATCACTGAAAGTATAAGAATAACATAAATATACAAAAAGACGTAGTTATTGAGTTTATTTAATGAAAGAATATGAAGAATAAATAATAGTTTAAAAAAACTAACAAAATACGCTTTTATAGAAAATTCAACTAAATAATAGAAAATAAATTTGAATTAAAAATAGTTGTAAGAAAAAATGATGAAAAGCGTGGGGTGCATGGTATCAGTAGTTATAAATATTTTATGAACAGATATGAGAAGAAGGGTTATTTTGATAATATCCTTTTTTTTTTTTTTTTTTTTTTTTTTTTTNTGTCGGCAGATGTACCACGAACACAGAAACAACAAAAGGAAACAAAACAAATAAAAACTTCCAGAAAGAGCACTTAGTCGGCAGATGTACCACGAACACAGGCCGCGCGAACAATGGCCGGGCTAACAAAAGCCGGGCGAACAAAGACCGGGCGATCGAGTGGACGATGAGCACGTCCGCACGTGACGGGTGCCTCTATCGGAATGATAATATCCTGAAAAGCACCCAGCAACTACTATTATTTTTTTGAATTTAAATTTTTTCAATATTTTTTAACATTGAAGTGTCATCGGTCCTTAACAAGTATACCAAATTTTTAGTTAATCCGACGTTTTGAAGGGGTCAAAATCATATTCAAAGATTCCGTTACATACTAACATACATACGTGTGAAGCTAATAAAAGCGTATTAAAAAACATCTTATCATAAATAATCAAGAAGCATCAGTTCATCAATCCGGAGTGCAAAAAACAAAAACAGCTACAGTAATACTTGCAAATTGTAGGTTTTTTTTATTGGATAGATGGGTGGACGAGCTCACGGCCCACCTGGTGTTAAGTGTTTGCTGGTACCCAGAGACATCTACAATGTAAATGCTTCCACCCACCTTGAGACATGCTTTCTAAGGCCTTAGTTTTTACAGTACAACAGCTGCACCATTCTTCAAATTGAAACGCTATACTGCTTCACGGCAGAAATATGCAGGTACCTAAATGTTTGGACTCACAAGACGTCCTACTACCAGTAAGACCAGTAAGTTTAGTAGTTAATGGACCGTCTATTAATATGGTATAGTTCGTGGAAGAGCTTTTAATTTTAATACCGCTAAGAGTTGGCTTACAGATACTGTTAAATTTGGATCCAGCTATCAAGGTACCTACATCGAAACACCATATTCCACTAGCTAAATTTTATTAAACTGGTAATAGACCATCACAACTTGAAATATAAGAAGATTATAATAAAGTAAAAGAATGGTTAAGTAAGGAACTGAAGTAAGGAACTTTAATTACTTTTTTCCAAATTCGAAATTTTGTCCAATATATGACATGTTAATAATATAAGGAATACTAGCAACTATAATTATTGTATATTTAAAGAATACCGCAACTTCATATCTAAGTTCCGGCGACTGTAGATCTAGGTGTGTGCGTGTCAGAGCCTAAATAGCAAGCATTCGTCTCCACCAGACCGATCAACTGTAGCAGTATTTGTTGCTTTGAAACAGGATTAGGACAGCGTTAGCTTCATGGATACTTATACAAAAATCAAGACAGTTGCGTGTTACAAGCAGAGCATAGGTATTTTGAAATGTTAAATCCCTCCTGACATATATTTTATGTAGGTCTCTTCCGTATACAAATTTGATTCCTTGACATTGACCAAGCACGTAAGATATTATATTTCCATTCTATGCCAAAATTTAAGTATTTTGAATGTGACAGCTGGCATCCGTGTCGTATCGTTGTTGTATTTCGTACACAGACGACGCCGCGAGCCTATTATCGCTATTCTGCATGATAATTTACACGCCATTAAATAAGATTAAACTTTTTAAAATCTTGATAAGTAAAAAGTAATTATTACATAGAGACTATAAAATTGCTTTTTCATTAAAAAGGTACGAGTCTAAAACGTAAGGAACAATGTAAAATAATAAAGATAATAACCTTATAATAAATTATACCTAATATAAATTTAAACGTAAATAATTATCTTTACGAACCGAGAATACTTTGAGATTAAATATTAATTCAAGGACCGATTTTTTTGACAATTTATCTGTGTTGTAAAATTTTTATGTAAATTTTTGTAGAAGATCTAATGTACAACTCTTCTACTTGTCGTTTTCCTGCTGCGAGACGAGTACACTGTTTACAGGAATTTTGTATATTTTTCTCTTTGATGAGCAGAGCAGCTCATGACCAATATCATGATTATTGCCGGAGATAATAGACAACATAACATCCACACGTGAGGCCATTATGTTTGCTTTAACCTTTTTACTATCTCACGGCACACTGGGTAATGAGTGCATACCAGAGCACTAATTTTTTTTATCTCATGGTGAAAGGGGCTATGAAAAGGATATAGAAATAATTCAAAGAAAATGTCGATTTTTGGAGACGGCTATGTATTAACTAAATCTCTACTTATACACCCACATCAATAAATTTGTTACAGAACAGCTAAAACCAAAAGGGCACCAGCTTTGCTGTAACTCAGCATTACCGGTGCCCCAACTCTTGTATAAATTACAATAATAACATACAATCAGATGAATCGTATACTGCCTTCGACAGCTAATAAAGTTTTTTTGGAAACTATAACGATTATATGTGAAAGAGGAAACGGCTAAAACAGAGGAAGGTGAACGCGGAAAACTAGCAGACGACATTGTACGGCTAAACCAATTAACAGATTAAATGGGTTTTATTGATTTGAAATCAAAACAAATAAGATAGAACACATAACAAGAGGGAAACGAAATGTACTAATATATGTAAACAACGTTGAATTTGATTAATTACAAACAAATTGGACAGTTGACTAATCCAATGATAAAGGCTAGGAATGGAATGCGGAGTGAATTTCGTTAATCTAATCTGTTTTATGTCTTCATTTCCTTTACAGTACATTGGATAAAAGCAAGCTACTGCTTTTTATACAAAATGTTGCATCCTGATTTGAAACATACATATATTTTGGGCAGCGGCTTGGCTCTATGCCTGGCATTGTTGGCGTCTATAATATTGGTACCAAATCATTTGGGATCAATTACGTCAATACATCAATATCAATCATTTCATTAACATGCTTTTATTAGCTGCACCTATCCGTATGTGTAATGCACCTATTAGTAATGTTCACAAATTTCAAGACGTTCAATGAATACTACATATAATTTGCAAACGTAATAAGAACCCACGGCAATACAATAATTTTAAAACCTTGGCCTAATAATCTGCCCAGGATGAGCAGGATAAAACAGCATAATTTTAGTTTATCTTACTATAAAACCAGCTATTATTTAGTTTTTAAAGTGCACTTACATTTTTGAATGTTCAAATTTTACTTACGCAAAATGTAGGCACAAGAAAATCCAGCGGACCCAAACATAGCCTCCGCGAATTCAGATATAGTGAAGCCTATGTACGTGCCGGCAAAATATCTGGTGGCGCCCAGCCACGCCGTGTTGAAGGCGTTCATGGTCAGAGCGATCCTTCGGCCCCAGCGGTCGGAGATGTAGCCGGTGATGGGCAGGGCCATTAGAGTTCCCAAAGTACGGATAGATCCTATCAGGGTGCGACGCCATTCATCACAAGCGAGGTCGTACTGTGAAAATAGATATTAACTTATAATATATAATAAATATAGTAGGAGAAGAATACTAAGCTTAACTTAATCATAGCCAGCATCATATTACTGCTGAGCATTTACATTTGAATACGATCCACCCCCATAAACGTCCGGGATTGTAGCAAGAAAACCTTCGAATTGAACTAATAAATGTTCATTTGGTATCAAGTATCTACAGCGTCATCTTTCAATATCGAAAGAAAGTTTCTGTGAATGATTCAAAGTCGTTCTTACATCGTACACGACCGTGTCCGTGTTCTGATAGACGAATGAGTCGCAGCCGACAACCCTCTCCCGATTGAACAAGGTGGCGGGGCAGGTGTCGCCGATCACGTCTGGTCTTCTAGTGGCGTTCTCGAAACGAAAGCAGTTGTCGAATCCGGAGCTGGTCGCCGGGATGGCGTTGGGCTTCCATTCCGGAGCGAAGACGGTATTTGAAGCCAGTTCGCATTCCGGGATCAGGCATCTAAAAGAAAGACCAATAAATGCTAAGCAAACAGGAAAACGAATTAATTTTATTTTTTTCGTAGACATGGTAAGTCGTCTTGCGAACCCGCACGCGTATGGCCACCACTCAGCTTATTCTGCCGCGTAGCAGTCATGCATTACAGTCGGAAGGATGAGACAGCAGTTATACTATACATTGAGACATAAGATCTAATAAGAATTGTGATGTTTTATAGGCTTTTATTACCAATTAATATGGCGAGTGTGGAAGGCCGTGAGACCGTCTATGCAAAAAAATATTTGTACGTATCTACACTAGAAATACCAAAGTTCGACGAATTCTACTACCATTTCCAAATTGAATGACTATTTTCGGAGCGAGTCAGTAGGTTTCATAAAACAATACAAAAACGAACTAGAATGGTGTAGAACCAGGCGAGTTGCTATCGAGAACTTGTATAAAATTTAATGAGCTTGGACAACGTCGAGTATAAGTAACTCTAATTGAAATCCGTAATCTTCGGGCATTAACAAAGTATGTTAGGTTAATTTATTTATTTTAGACTAGCTGACCCGGCAGACTTCGTAGTGCCTCAATCGATAAATAAAAGACCTAAACTTTTGTCTATACTATATAATATATAATATAATATATATAATATAATAATATTATAAAGAGGAAAGATTTGTTTGTTTGTTTGTTTCGAATAGGCTCCGAAACTACTGGACCGATTTGAAAAATTCTTTTTCCATTAGAAGCCGACATTGTCCCTGATGAACATAGGCTACTTTTTTAAATTTTTTTTTTTTATATTTTTCGTTTCATGTGTGTTTTAATGTTTCCGAAGCGAAGCGAGGGCGGGTCGCTAGTATAAAATAAACTTAAAACAAAGAAAAGGAATCCGTCCGACGGGGGACACATTAAAGAAAAAACCAAATTTGTTATTTTTATTTAATTCCGAGCATTTTCATATTCATTTAAACATTCTCTGGACTTCTACAAATAATTTAAGACCAAAATTAGCCAAATCGGTCCAGCCGTTCTTGAGTTTTAGCGAGACTAACGAACAGCAATTCATTTTTATACATATAGATAGATATCAATATTTTTGCTTCGTAATAATTTGTCTACTTTAAATTTCAAAGATTATTGTAATTTTTATCTGTACTTAATGCTATGTCGGATTTAGTATTAATCTTTTGATTAATTTATGAATTAGATTATATTCATACATATAGGTATCACTGTCTACACTAAGCGGTTGTACGTTCCGCTCGGATTAACCAGGAAGCCAACAATGTTGCCGATAAAGAAAAAGCTTGTTTTAACGAAATACCCGCTCGTGAAACTATATACAAACATTGAATTTAAAATTCAATTTCATTAAAGTAAATAAAATTGATAAATATCTTGAAAAATGAAACCATCAGTTAAACTTAAAAATTGGGGGCAACTCGCGAGTTACATAAACTATAATAAAAATAATACTTTCAAAATCGACCCGTCCACAAGGGCTGAAAGAGTCATTGAATATACAAAAAAATACATAAAATCGAATAAAGAAATTCTTCCTTTTTGAAGCTTTTTATGGGTGTACGTGCTCACGGTCCACCTGGTGTTAAGAGTTTGCCGGAGCTTATATACATTTACAACGTAAATGCCCCTACCCACCTTGAGACAAGAGTTCTAAGGTCTCAGTATAGTTACAACGGTTGCCCCACCCTTCAAACCGAAACGCATTACTGCTACACGGCAAAAATAGGCAGGGTGGTGCGGACTCACAAGACGACCTTTCGAAGTCACCATTTCGGGTCCGGTAACCACTTAATACCAGGTGAGCCGTGAGCTCGTTCATCCATCTAAGCAATAAAAAAGTGTATTTAACTGTCATATTAAATGAAACATTAATTATACATTAGGTCAATAAGAGCTCGGGGACTAGTACCAGAGGTAAGTTCGGAACACAGCCCATAGACTGGGCGAATGTCGCTGACCTTGTGGCGCGCCGTCGACGTCACGACTGTATCATAACAACGTCTATTCTACTCTGGGATCCGGATCGCTTGGCTACTTCATAACCCAAACAGCCAAAAACACAACTTATTGCTTTCCTCACAGCAACAGAACTCTTGTGGTATTTCGGGCTTTAATTTTATACATGATGTTTCAATGTTTGTTATTTCTAGGAGATACATCTCTCCTCGCGATGTTTTTCTCATTACCGGGGGTCGTGACTCCCCCGCTACATTAGTTTCTCCTCTACGATTTCCCTCCATCTGCTGCGATCTTTAGCTTCATGAAGGGCATTGTGGAAGTTGACGCTTAGAGAAGATCGTATTTGGTCCGACCATCTCGTGGGACTGCGTCCTCTGGGACGTTTGCCATCTACCTTGTCTGTCACCATCAACTGTTATAGATTATGATCCTCTTAACGAGCAATATGTCCGAAAAATTCCAGTACCCTACGAAGGCATATAGTGTAGTCTAGTTTTGATATTAAGCTCTCTCAGAATAGACACGTTGGTGCGAAAGGCGGTCCATGGAATCTGCAGCATTTTTCTCCAGCTCCACATTTCAAAGACGTCTATTCGGTCTCTGTCTGCCTTCTTCAGTGTCCAGGTCTACGCTCCATAACTGAATATGGAGAAAACTAGCGACCTCACCAATTTACACAAGGAGATACATATTACCTAGAAATATTAAGCTCTGGAAGCTCTTTAAGCAGCCAGCGCGCAACGAGAAGCCGATAAAATTAAACGCCAATATCAAAGTCAAAACCCTACGGCACGCGTTCATCAACTAACTACACGTGGCTTGGACTTTAGAAATGACAATTTATGGCATGTGTCATATATCTTGCTGTTTATTTTGAACAGGAAAGTTGAACACTGTGAGGTATAGGTTTGGCAAAAACGTAAACGGTCGTGCATCCACTATTGTTTAGTTTCGTCTCGCGGAAGCTACTACGAGAACTTTATGGGCTAATTTAATCAGGTTCAACAAATATTACTACAACAAATAATAATAGTAATACTTAGCAACGTCATCATTGAGTTGAGCGACAATATTTGCAGTTTATTAAACTATCTTCGTGGGCTTCCGAAGTAAAGATCGCACGCTATGTCTACTACTACTACTATGTATATTAGACATAAGTTTTATCTAATTAGATTGTGAAACTAAATTCTCAAAGATAACTATTTAGTAAAATTCAAATAGTAATTGGATTCCTAGGATAGGATAGGATAGGATAGGATAGGATAGGATAGGATAGGATAGGATAGGACTGCTAATGAACGCAATAAAAAAAAAACCAGTGTCCCATTCATCAAACCGAAAAGAATAATTAGTTCGCGGTCAGTTTATTTTTAAGAGCATTTCAAAGCAGATAGGCGACAGCCCGCCCTACTGGTGGTAGGACCTCTTGTGAGTCCGCACGGGTAGGTACCACCGCCCCGCCTATTTCTGCCGTGAAGCAGTAATGCGTTTCGGTTTGAAGGGTGGGGCAGCCGTTGTGACTATACTGAGAACTTAGAACTGTATCTCAAGGTGTGTGGCGCATTTACGTTGTAGATGTCTATGGGCTCCAGTAACCACTTAACACCAGGTGGGCTGTGAGTTCGTCCACAAATCTAAGCAATAAAAAAAAAAAAAAAAAAAAATGTGAGTGCCTATGGTCGCTACCATCAAAAACTCTTATCAAATAATGTTGAAACATGAACTTGATAGAGTTTACCAGACGCCGTTGACGGAATATACAAGCACGCACGCATAAGCGCGTTTAATAAATTTATAAAATTTTTAGATAGATTTAATTACTCCCTGTTGTTCATACGTCGGTGAAATCATACGAATACTTATGATTCCGGGAACATATACTCGTATGTTACGAACACGCGCATTACAATAACTCAATAATTGTTAACGTATTTTAATGAAAATTCCGACAAATATTAATTAGGTCTATTGAATCGCCATATGTTTTGTGGTAAATGAGATAGATACTAAACGAAATAGCATAGTGTTCATGATTGCATTGATGATTGATTGATTGATTCGTATAAATAGCATACTAGTGGATCTAAAAGTAAATAATTGTTTAATTTAAAATAATCATTTTTTCTTACACTATTTTTAATTCAAATTTATTAAAATGTATTTTCTATTTTTTCTAGTTGGATTTTCTATAAAAGCTATTTCTATTTTGTTAGTTTTTTTAAACTGTTATTTATTTTTCATTTTTTAGTTGGATTTCAATTTTTTCAATTATTTTTTTAATATTGACTTGCCATCGGTCCTTAATAACTATACCAAATTTCTAGTTAATCCGACGTTTTGAAGGGGGTCAAAATCATGTTCAAAGATTCCGTGACATACTAACATACATATGTCTGAAGCTAATAAAAGCGTATTATTATTAGTATTTTTGGATCCCCGAGTGATACGGGCCACTCCTGCCGCGAAATACAAAGTGGCTCATTCTTTGTGAATTACAAATAAAAAGCGGCTATTTTGTAATTTCTAAAGACTAACGAAAAATCCACAATTTCCTGTTACTTATTCTTTGTTTTTATTTAGTTGTATCGAAAGTATTTTTAGTTCACATGTTATATTATGCTTTCGAATAAATATAATTTTAATTTTCGGAGCAGGTCAAGAAGGCCATCAATTAATTATCTTACATTAATACCAAGCTCTATTTACCTTGAACTGATCCTGGCGGTGGTAAATATGAACTCACTGGCTCCCCAAGCAGCGAAGATCACCATGATGGCAGCCAAGATCACGGTCCTCAGCTGGAACCAGCCGAACTGTCCCAGCTCTTCAATTAGGATGGTGTCTAGATTCACCTTCTGCTTGGCGCCTTCATCTTCTATGTCGCCGTTGGCGTTTTTCGTTCGATCTTCCATTTTCTAATTAATAAATTCAATATCCAGTTAATTGATTTGATTGACCTTTAATACATTTCCCGGAGCTAGGTACTTTTTTTTAAAAGCAGATGTTTTTGTTTGGTAAAGGTCAGCTTGGTAGTGCGTTGTGAACTACAGAAGCGATGTGTAGTCGTATTTTTATAAACAACGTGAGCAGATAATGGCTATTGATAAACCTGAGCGTGAATAGCTTACGTACTTATACCCTTTTGTTGTTTGAGTCAGGTGCAACGGTCGCGTCAATACCCATGATAATATTTATGGCGGATATATAAGACTTTCGACAAAGCGTCTCGCATTTACGATCTATGTATTTCACTTAGAAGTAGGCAGCGGCTTGGCTCTGCTCCTGGCATTGCTGAAGTCCATGGGCGACGGTAACCACTTACCATCAGGTGGGCCGTACGCTCGTCTGCCTACAAAGGCAATAAAAATAAAAAAAATAACTTTAATCTTGTGGTCGGGTGAATTATATCGAACTTGTCTTCTCTCCGCAAATTAAGCCCTAAGCTGTCCTTACTACCAAAAAAGCATAGGCTGTTATCCCATTAACCCATTAAGTGATTTCGAGCACGTTAATGCTGTACATGTCCACTCTGGGATGTGTTGTCTGTTAGTTGACAGACACGAGTAGTTTCGTCGGGCACTGAATGCTCATAATGCTTAAATTTGAAATTCGCTAGGGCTTCTAGCGCTTCGCAGTTGTCTTCATAAGGTAGCAAATTTAATAAAACTGATAAAATAATTAAGTTACCGAACCCGTGTTGTGTCAATGTGTAATAAATTTATGGGGTTGGAAGTTACAGTGTAAAAGAACGGTCGGGTTGTTTAGTTAGTGTAAAAACTAAAGAAACCTTATTTAGCCAAACAGAATAAGTAATTTCATTACATTCAGAGCATTACATTACGTATATTTGTATGTCCCGATTTACTTTGTTTGCTGAAAATAGTTAGTTTGTCGCAGTAACCATCATAGAACGCAAGATATTCGACGCCTTGATGCCTGAATCTCATTTACGACATTTTCAAGATAAGCTTGCATGTAATATAAAATTTTCGAGCAACAACATTCGGGCCATCGGTCGGTCTACGGTTGCAATATTACACGTTCGGTGGAAAATCTTCCCTTTGTCGTTATCCAAAAGTTCTTCATTCGTTTTGCGCTTTTATAACAATAAATGGATGTTAACAAAATTTTACAACTCCCCATTTTTAAGATATTTTCAACGAATTGGTATTGATACAATATTGAGGTGTGTGAGCTCGCGACCTAGTTTCTTGAAACTTGAGAATAATCGCATTCGCTTACCAACAGGTGAACTGCCGCTTGTTTATCCATTTCTGCAAAAAAAAAACAACAATATTTTAATGTCTCAGGATTACATTTTTAACTGATGGCCCAGAGGCCTTTTTAGTTTCACCAGGACAGGTAGGCGAGCAAAGGCTTTTTCTTAAAAAAAATTTATTGCCCTTGTAGGCAGATGAGTATACGGCCCACCTGATGGTGAGTGGTTACCGTCGCCCATGGACTTCAGCGATGCCAGGGGCAGAAACAAGGCGCTGCCTACCGCTAGCTCAACCAGGTGGGGTGAGATTTGCTAACAGCTGCTTGAGCGCCTCCAAAGGAGACTTAAGAACTCAAGAGCAGCTGCTTCGTGAATGGATCTAATACCAGATCGGAATCGCGACCTGTTGAGAAGATCCGGCGAGAAACTCAGCGGGCTGATGTTTAGGTTATGTTGCACGTCGAACTCTTTGCCGAGTTCGACGAGTACGGCTACCGGGATCCCTAAGCCTGCTCCTAGTGTTAGAGCTAGCAACGCAACAGTTATTGGGTCTGATTGATCCGTAAGGATGTGTCTAGGGCGTCGACAGTGACTGACCCCTGCGTGATCAGGATTCGAGGAGTAGTCAGCGGAGGTAAAGATAAGGCGATTATCATGACGCATAGGATTGATTCAAGGCCCAGGTCGTCGTGTAGGTGAACGTTCCTCACGAACCACGGAGCTCCGACGGCTAACCTGCAAAAGCAGAGTTCTAGGAATTGGAGGGTGCCTTATGCAAGTTTTCTAAAGTGTCATCTTGTTCCGAAGAGACATTTTACTTCTCTAACTGATTATGGGGTCGAGTCTGCTAAGAATAAAAGCGGCATGGTCGCGGACTGTTTTTATATGCGGACGGAATGTCACGGATGCATCCAGGGTGACACCCAGGTACTTAACCTTCCTGGCCCAGGGTATAGGTTGGCCGAAAAAAATGATCGGGGGTGTGATATTTCTCGTCCTGATACGGGAAGAAATACGCTTGAGTTTCCCCTTTAAAATAGCACCGCTGTGCTTTTCGCTGGGTTGATGTCTATGCGCCATTTTCGGAACCACTGTCCTAGGGCTACGGCTGCGCTCTGGAGTTGCCTTGCGATTAGAGACTTGTTTCTACTCGAATAATAAATGGTCGTATCGTCGGCGAATACGGCTAACTGGGTCTGAGGAATATCGTTAATAAATAAACTAAATAGGAACGGAGACAGGACGGAGCCTTGCAGGAACTCCAGCCGTGAGTGGTCGCGGGGAGCAGCGGGCTCCCTCGACTCGATATCGAAAAGAGTGGTTCGACAAGAAGTCCCGTATGATGAGCACGAGACTATCCGGCACGCCCATGTTGAATAGTTTGAAAATCAAACCATTGTGCCAGACTTTGTCGAACGCTTTTGCGACGTCGAAGAAGAGAGCTCCCGTGTATAACGGTTTTGGTCGATTAAGCCCCACAAGAATGTGCTCCATGAGGCGGTGCACCTGTTGAACGCATGAGTGATTTGTACGGAATCCGAATTTTTCATCGATGATAATGCCCTTGGATGAGACGAAGTCTCTGAGGCTTTTGTAGAGCAGACGCTCATACAGTTTGCCTAGAGACATGAGGAGGCCAATCGGACGGTACTCAGGGTAAACTATGGCCTGGTGTTTATCTAGAGTCCCGCTGATGTGCAGACTGCTACTTGCTTGACTACTTCCTACAGTACAAGATATTATTTGATTACATTTTGTTCTAAAGTTAAACCCGGATAAAAACAATATCAAGGACAGAATGATGGCCTTTTCATGGATTAATTGAAATGAGCAATCATAATCTTCATTAATCCATTTTATACTATCGTACAATGCGTATTGCTGTTATATTTAATGTGTTATTTTATCTTAATTAGCTACTAAAATTTAATTTTAGCTAGAAAACTGTTTTCTGAACAATCTAAATTTTAGATTTGTTAACATCGCATATCTGAAAATATGATGACAATTTTTTTTTATATTGTTGCTTTATTACACACTAGCGGCCCGCACCGGCTCCGCTCGGGTCTTTAACAAAAATTTCAACTATATTTGATATTGTTTTATTTTTTTAAATAAAAGAACATTTATTGCGGCAAATCAAATCAAATCAAAAAAGTATTATTCAACATAAATGAAAGTACATACTTGTTGAACGTCAAAAGAACTACCGCCAATTCACAAGAATTAGCCTCCGTCCTGAGAAGAATTGGCAAGAAACTCAGCGGGCATGTCTTTTTTTTTATATATTAGATTTTTTTTTAATATTAGATTTTTTTAAATATTCATTTTTACAATAAGTAATTATAACATAACAATTTTACAATATTGAAATGCCCGGAGCGAGCAACTCATTCCCACTTTGTGCAACCTTCTAGATAATCATTGACTTTATAGTAAGCTTTATTGCACAGATGTTCTTTAATAAATTTTTTTAAACTTATGTATATGTAGGTTCTGAACATCTTGTGGGATTTTGTTGTACAGGCGCACAGAAAAACACCCGAATGAATTTCGTATCTTATGTAACCTACTCCTCGGCACAACAAGCTTGTGTTTGTTCCTAGTATTTCTATTATGTATGTCCGACATTTTAGGAAACTCCTCAATATGTTTACGAACATACATCAAATTTTCAAAGATATACTGGGATGGCATAGTGAGAACTTTAATTTCTTTAAATTTTTCCCTCAGGGATTCCCTTGAGTGCATGTTATAAATAGCACGTATAGCTCTTTTCTGCAGAATAAATATCATTTCTACATCGGCCGCATTGCCCCATAGCAAAATGCCATAGGACATGACACTGTGGAAGTAACTAAAGTAAACTAAACGAGCCGTGTCCGCATTTGTTAACATTCTAATTTTTTTTACTGCGTATGCTGCAGAGCTAAGCTTACTCGCCAATTTATGAATATGAGGTCCCCACTGCAGTTTGGAGTCCACTGTTATACCAAGAAATACGGTTGACTCAACAAGCTCCAATGATTCCTCAGAAACAATTACATTACTATCTACTTGTCTCACATTTAAAGATGATTTAATACATTTTAAAGTAAATTTAATACATTTCGTTTTCTTACTATTCAATAATAGGTTATTGATACGGAACCAATGAACCACACACGAAATCGCATCATTCACTTCGTCATAGACTTGTAATTGTCGTTTAATTTTAAATAATAAAGATGTATCATCTGCGAATAATACGACCTCGTGTCGGGACTCAATAAAACTAGGCAAATCGTTTATATATATTAGAAATAAAAAAGGACCCAAAATGGAACCCTGAGGTACACCCATTTTCAACGTGGTGCCTGAAGATCTATTTCCTTTCACATCTACTGTTTGTATCCTTCCTGATAAATAGGAAGTAATAAGTTCCAATGCACCATCCCTAATACCATAGTGATGTAGTTTCCTCACCAATGTTTCATGTTCAACACAGTCAAATGCTTTGGATAAGTCACAGAAAATTCCAAGACAATCATGCGATTCCTCCCAAGATTGAAAGATATTTTTGATTAGATAAGCACCTGCATCAGTTGTAGAGCGACCCCTTGTAAACCCGAATTGTTTATTATGAAGCAGGTTATTTGAATTAAAATGTTCTAAAAGTTGTGTCAAAATTATTTTTTCAAAGATTTTACTCAACGTAGGGAGTACTGAAATAGGTCTATAGTTAGAGGGGTCATCAGTACTACCAGATTTAAAAAGAGGATCCACTTTACTATGTTTCATTATATCAGGAAATACACCACACTTAATACAATCATTAAAAATAGTAACAAGATGAGAAGCAATTATGTCTATTACAGACTTCAAAACCTTTACTGATATTCCCCACAAGTCAGCTGTATTTTTTGCATTAAGGCTATTAAAACTTTTTATTATATTGCTTGAATTAATTTTCATAAATTTAAAAATTTCATTACATTTGTTGACATGGTTATGCAATAATATTTCAGCTGCTGTGGGGGCATAACTTTAATAGTTAGACTTATGCTGCCGCGACACTTTTTGTAAATATGTGTGCTACAAAGTCTAGTACATTATTTTATTTTATCATCAATACTTTTCGCAGAGCACGCGATGTAAAGAATATTTTAGGTAATTTTTTTACACCTTGAATTCCATTATTGAAGTTTTAGTAAGGATCCCTAATTTTTTTCAAAAAAGAGCATAGCCTTTGTCACTGGGGAATAGTGTGGCTTTCAAACAGTGAAAGAATTTTTCAAATCGGTTCAGTAGTTTTGGAGCGTATTCAATACAAACAAACAAACAAATCTTTCCTCTTTATAATATTAGTGTAGATGATATAGGATATGCCAATGGTGAGAGGCACAGCCAAGCCAATACTTCCCACGTAATCAAATCCGTTTTATGGACTTCGTTATTAAGTATTTTGCGTTATTAAGTTTTAGGTACATGTCTGGTGGAATTAGATCTAAATTAAAATCCGATTACTTGCTAACCTAACCTCAATACATAACCGTGACCCGTAGCTTAACTTGACTATTCCAAAATTGAGAAGAACTCGCGAGACAAACTCTGTTATATTTATTTTTTTAACTCGTTAATTTATGTTACAAAAGTCGCAGAAAACAGATAAGCACAATGGAAGGAAGCTTTATTGCACCGTCGCTCTTACCTGCTGTGACACACGGTCTCTTGTTATTGAATAGTAAAATATATCTTATACACAGGACCCGGACAGTAGGGCTCCAAAGCGCAGCCCGACAAAGACTGGCAAAATTATGCGCACGCGTCGGAATTTTGCACTTGGCTATGTCATTGCATTAAATATTCATGAATGCATAACTCGTGCACTGGCACCGATGCAAGGATCTGGAATTAATTGGACAGGACACTGCCGACTGAGGTTAAATACTTTATATCCTTTTTTGGTTGAGTTCTCATTTTATACCGGTTTGATTATTAGTTTGTAAATATTACACACTAATACACCGCAGCAATAACGCAGCTCACAGAGAGTTAGTATGTTAGCAAATATAGCTGAAAGTACACGAACATAATACTTATATTGAAGTATAATTTCAACGGTGAAAATAATAAAAATAATTTAACTCTTTATTTGACACCACATGTACAGAGTAAGCATATAAAACAAATAATAGACGGTGACATAAATTGGCGGCCTTATCGCTGAAAGCGATCTCTTCCAGACACATGTGAAAAATAAATACAACATAAGATAGACGATAAGATACATACGATTAAATACAAATAAATACCAAAAATATGCAAGTAAATACAAAATAAGTAGCAGCTTATAGAGTTATATCGTAGGAGCCATATTATTGTGCAAGGTAGTTCGATTTTAATCTGAACTTGAAAATTTTCGGCGAGGACGATTGTTTGATGCTTAAGGGTAGTTAATGCATTCCATAAACGGACTGCTTCAACCGCAAAGGAATGATCATAAAATGACGTCCCGTGAGCCGGAAACTTCAGCATTAAATAGTGTGTCATAATAGTATTAAAGGCAAACATTAACAGACATTGGTAGATAGTGATAAGCCGTCCTACAGTGACAGACGCACTGAGGAAGACGGCTGGCACGGCTCATAAATCACTCGATAATGAGAATTATTGGAAAACCCCGGGTCGAACCGTGCAACGCGAACTTCAGCGTACATAAAAACTTTTTTCTCCTACCTATGCCGAAAGTTCGATTTTCCTCCCGCTGTACAGGGAAGAAAGTCTATCTTTTCCTTCCGCTGTACAGAGAAGAAGGTCTAACTTTTCCTCCCTGGGTACAAGTGCGCATGCGCGTTAGTGTCTACGTCTACTCTCACGTATCTAAAATTCTCCGCCATTGTTGTGCTCGGGTAATTTGCAATATTGTGTTTAGTGTAAAAGTGAAATAAACAAAAGGTAATAAAATTTAATAGTGAAGTATTAAACAAAGATGAGTTCATCAGACAGTTCTTATTCAATTAGTAGTAGTTTATTTAAAAATATAAAAAAAAACAGTTAAATTGTTTTTTATATGCCTGAAGTTCTTCCATGTGTCGTTACTCAGTGAAACATTGTTGTTTGGAACTTGTATATGTTTATACTCGTAACATGTACTTATGCTTATTTTGTAAAGGTCAATAGCACGAACCAGGCTTGTGTCATTTGTTTTCTGTCATTTGTACTGCGATATCCTCGCTCCCGTGGTTACGGATTTATCACTTTTCTACAGTTAAGCAATTCTATCGGACTGCAAGAGACGACCGTGCCGCATCAGTGCAATTGACAAATCATCCTTACATTTTCGAGATGAGCCGCGGCGTCCGTGTCGTGGTGTCTACGAGCTTCGGTGACCTCTGAACACGAAGTAAATAAAACTAAGTTGAAGTAATTTTAAAGGCATCTGTTACATTGCAGATCTGGTGTAGCCCGGAACAAGAAGTAGAACTATTTTTAATCGTCCTCATCGTAATCATGCCCTTGAATTCGAATTTAAAATTTACAAACTCATAAAAGCAATCAATCAATGACGTAATTATAGCAATAATTAAATCCAAGTAAATAAAATTTTTAATCGCACGATCAATCATCTACACAGAAGTGCACCTACAATATTTCATCGCTGATATACCTACTTTTTCTTTTGGTTATTTTACAGCCCAGATTAACTTATTGTGTCCCAAAGATAACATAATACTAACACTTCTTCCACAAGTTCCACTAGTGGCATTAGTCTGCGAGACAAAGCGGCTTTGGAAGCGAGCGCACTCGAAGGTGGTAGTACTGCAGCCAAACCACTCTGTCAGGCTTTTTAACTCACAGTGTCGTCTCTACGCCATTCCCATTGCTGTAACTGTTGTTTTTTTTTTTATTGCTTAGAATGCTTAGATGGATGGACGAGCTCACAGCCCACGCATTACTACTGCTTCACGGCGGAAATAGGCGGGGTGGTGGTACCTACTCGTGCGGACTCCCAAGAGGTCCAACCACCAGTGATAAACCAACACCAACGCCAACGCTTATAGACTTTCTACTGGTGGTAGGACCTATTCTGAGTCCGCACGGATAGGTCCCACCACCCCGCCTTCTATTTCTGCCGTGAAGCAGTAATGTGTTTCTGTTTGAAGGGCGGGGTAGCCGTTGTAACTATACTTGAGACCTTAGAACTTATATCTTAAAGTGGGTGGCGCATTTACGTTTGTAGATGTCTATGGGCTCCGGTAACCACAACACCAGGTAAGCTGTAAGCTCGTCCAACCATCCAAGTAATAAAAAAAAGAAGAACTGTGAACGATGACGTTCAGGCCAAACGCCGGAAAGCAATGGAAGCCATGGATGGTTTTTTTTTTTTGGGCAGGCGGCCAAACCTTCTTAGAGGTGTTCGCGCCAAGGTGTTAGGGCCCTATCTACCAAACGACTCCCTTTGCACTCTCTCACCCGAAGTACGTTCTTCGTCCGCGGTCAGAACCCGGCAGAATAAGGGGGGTTCCCGCGGTCAACATTACAAACAGACTCGCGGTACCACCCCGAGAACGCAGAGCTGACGGATCGTCAAGGCAATCGTCGACAATCAACGTCGTCGGTCTCCGCGGTACGAGCGCCCGGGCGATGCCGCTGGTGTTCCGCAGAACCAGTCGGCTGGATCGGAGCGCGATATACCATTAACCGGATTGCTCTTCCATTTTTTTATTACCCTTGTTGATATACGAGCATACGGCCAACCTGACCGTTTACCTGAGTGTTTACCGTCGCCAATGGACTTCAGCAATGACGATATCGTGCGGTGCAGTCTCAAGCCTCTCAGATCTCAATGCTAGCTAGCTAATGCCAGCATTGAGCAAGTTAAAGCTACCCTATAGACACGAGCGCTCGGACATATTAATCGTTTAGGACCTAATTGCCTTCGATCATTGTTACAGCGCCATCTAGTTGCATTAAGTAAAAACTAAACCGTTTAATATAACTTAACTTTATGCACCCACTACTCTCTACATTCGTATGCCGTTAGATGGCGCTGTACAATATCGAGCCACACGAGCAAGAAGAACCGATGAACGAGATCTAGATCTCGATCCCACCGGTGGGTCGGAACGTTTTTTCGCGACAGGCGCGGCTGACTACCGCCCGGACTGCGCTCACGCAACAATTAACAAACGTCACCGCGGACACGCGCTCCACTCTCGGCACTCCTGTAACTCGTTAAGAGCTAATGACACCTTAGCTTGTAACATCAGCCCGCTGACTTTCTCGCTGGATCTTCTCAGCATATCGCGATTCGGACCAGGTGGAAAATACGGTTGCAAAGCAGCTATCTTTGAGCAGTTAAGTCTACCCTGGAGACGCCCAGCTTTGTTAGCAAAGCTGCTCTCCCTCCCGACTGAGCCCTTGACCTCGGCCTCCCGTTCTGGTGAAGTCGAAAAATTCAAGAGGAATTCTTAATAACATACTCGTAGGCTTGATCTAATATTGTTTTAACAATTAATTCCATTAATATACTTACAATCTGAACAATGTACAATCTGTATCTGACAGAAATTCAATACTCCGATAACATTGCTTTACTTATTTAATATAATGCTGCTATAATACAATACATTTTTTTTAATAACTCTAACTCTAACCTTACAGATCTATATTAGAATCAGTAAAACCTCAAAATATATTTGGTCAAAACTTATTTAATTTGAGATCATTTAACTTCTGCTTTTTTTCTTCCCAGTTCTTCTGCATCTTTCATGGTGTCGGGCAGCTTGGTGCCCAGGGTCTCTGGCGTCGTGAAGATCAACATACCGGATATTAGAGCGAAACTGCCAAATAGTACCGATGGAAAACTTTCCCATACTTCTAGAGCCTGAAATAGGTAAAATTAATGATTGACTCTGTATAGAACGCGACCATGATTTGATCTGGATTTTTAAAACTAATTACACGCTACCTATAGAGACGTTCATTATTTGAACTCAGATGGGTAAATATTGCCTAGATACATTCATAGAACAAGGACAAAAGCTTTCATATCAGGTCAAACCTTTTTATACATTTTGGAAAAAATTAATATTACAAGTCGAGTTACTTTATTGTAAATCACATTATGGATGCATCTCGGAATATCCAGTAGGTATGATGGGGACAATGGGTACGATACTATAGATGTCCGGTAGGCAGGTAGCTAGGTGTATAGATGTGAACAACAAAATTATGAGTAATCCATTACTCCAAAAGCCAAATAATGTAGGTTGAATAATTATTGAAAATGTTAATACTATTTTTCCATATTAACTGATCATCTATCCGAGATAATAAGTCGGAGGATTAATGATATCAAGAAAATTCTCAACCATATTAAACAGAATATAACATCTATCAATTAACCGAACGTGGCTACGAGACTGAGTAAGAACTTCCCGAGAAGGACGTGCTATTCGATTTTAGATCGCCGCATGATTCGTACTTGTTTTTCAGAATAGGCGCCTGAGAAAATGTGTGGGTACGAATGAAAATGACTTAAAAAAATTGCTCTAATACTATTTATTGTCAGGCGGAATCAGCTTCCTACAAAAAAGTTTTTAGTATTCGACGCCATTGTCCAGTATTTTAAAACATGCTTTAAAAATAATAATAATGTGATGAGCATATATTTAGATCGTGTTGTTTCATAAATTCAAATAAATATTAAGCAACCTAGCTATACATTACAAGTCTTTTATATCTCAAATTACCCCTCAACATTTTTTTAATGCTTAGATAGGTAGACGAGCTCACAGCCCACCTGGTGTTAAGTGGTTACTAGTGCTCATAGACATCTACAACGTAAATGCGCATCCACCTTGAGATATAAGTTCTAAAGTCTCAAGTATAGTTACAACGGCGTAAAATTTACCGAAGCCAATGTCTTGCTAGGACTACGAGTAGTGTAATCAAGTCCTCTCATCCCCTCAGGTTGAGCCCGGTAACTCAGCTACCGTCCCATGAGTAGTTGGAATAGTTCTTAAGCTACCAACCAGTAGATAGGCAGGGGATAAAAGTGAGATCTTCATAATTCTAAATCCAAATATAACTCACAAGTGCCGGGGTCAGCGGTGCAGATATAGATCCGATCCTGCCCACCATTGAGGAGTACGCGAACAAGTTGTGTCTGTACTGGGTGGGGTACAGCTCGGCCGTGTACACGTACACCGAGGTCATCACTATGGCGATGCAGTACTTGCCGAACAGATATAGGAATAGAGAGAGGCCATAGTAACCTGGAATGAAAGAATCGTACGGTACATGTGGCGCTACCCACACTGCAGAGGACGGGATTATGTGGAAGAACGGTCTATGATAACGTTATCCATAGAGGTCATAATCGTCAGACCTTAGCAGTTTTTTTTATTACTTAGATAGATGGACGAGCTCACAGCCCACCTGGTGTTAAGTGGTTACTGGAGCCCATAGACATCCACAACGTAAATGCGCCACCCACCTTGAGATATAAGTTCTAAGGTCTCAAGTATAGTTACAACGGTTGCCCCACCCTTCAAACCGAAACGCATTACTACTTCATGGCAGAAATAGGCAGGGTGGTGGTACCTACCCGTGCGGACTCACTAGAAGTCCTACCACCAGTAATTACGCAAATTATCATTTTGCGGGTTTGATTTCTATTACCCGATGTTATTCCTTCACGGTGGAAGTCAATCGTGAACAATTGTTAAGTACGTATTTCATTAGAAAAATTGGTACCCGCCTGCGAGATTCGAACACCGGTGCATCGCTCAACACGAATGCACAGGACGCCTTATCCGTTAGGCCACGACGACTTCAACCTCCGTGCTCACTTATTGGATACCGGTTACAGCTAACTTTGCGAAATGAGGTCGAAGCAGAAATTGCATTGGAATAAGAACACCTCTGCACTCCAAGCCGGAACACGTGATCGCTTAGGTTGGTATACGACTTCGCCGCCCGCGTCGTCTTAAACGGTTACCGGAGATCATATACATTACGAGACACAATAAAGTCGAAGTCTCAATAGTATTGTATAACGGCTGCTTCGCCCTTCAAACTGAAATGCTAGACATATTTGCGGCTGAAATAGACAGGACGGTGGTACATATACATGCGGACTATGAACAAGCCCTACCATCAGCAAATCAAACCAACTCTTAGTGCTCACTGTGAATACTGCACTTACCATCAGGCAAGAACGCAAATCCAAACTGACAAGCGGCACACAGCCAATAAGCACCGATCAGAACTGGCTTCCTGCCAATCCTATCCAACAAGAGAATAGCGGTCCAATATCCAGGGATCTCTATAGCAGCCACGGCCACATAATTCAAATACCGATTTCCAGACATATTAACTGAGTTGATAGACATTCCGTAGTAGACCAGAGTATTGGTAATCCACCAGAACGGAGAGACCAAGCACCTTGATAGGATCACACGAGACCTAATGACCTGTAGAGGAAGCCAAGCTTCTTTTGGTTTTTCAATCAGTTTCTCAGCTTCGGCTGTAGCTCTTAATGCTTCTAGAGACTTTTCTGAAAGAACTTTATTGTTTCTTTGTGCTACTTTCTTCAGAATCGTCTCGGCCTCTTCATAACGACCTTTGCTCATCAACCAGCGCACGGACTCGGAGAGAATCCAAAAGTATGAGACCACTAGAAGCTGTGGAGCGTATATCACTTGCGTCAACGATCGCCAGTGCGGGACTCCCCAAGCGATCAGACCTAAGAACACTTGTCCCAACGCGAAGAGTGTGGACACTGTCGCTCCGGCGACCACGCGGTATTTTGGACCCACCAGTTCAGTAACTGTTGACATCATTGTTTTAATTATAAAAATGCACATTTAGACCACAATACCTTATTTCATTATAATTCATTTGCTGCATTGAACTTGATACAATATTAATTACTATAGGATCAGAATGTTAATTTAAAATATTGTAGATAATAATATGATTAAATAAAAATCATAAAATTAAGTTTAAGTACATAAACTGTACATAAACTGTACATAAACATCACACGATAGTTGTAACAATAAAACATCAGTTACCCAATATGAAGCACGAAGAATAAGCACCAGCGCCAATAGTGGATTCAATAACTTCCAGGGCCAAGAACCACTCGTAAGAGTTAACGAAGGACCTCACCAGTCCCAGCCAGCCCGTGTTGAAGGCATTGATAGTGAGGGCCACTCTCCTGCCCCACCTGTCGGAGATGTATCCGGTGACGGGGAGAACCAGCAGAGTACCGATGGTCCGGATGGAGCCGATCTGCGAGCGACGCCATTCGTCACAGGCCATGTCGAACTGAAATCATTGAAATTCATTTTAAATTATTGAAGCGGTTTTTTTAATGTTTTTTTTGGAACGAAGTTCTTTATGGGACGATGCGGAGGGGCACCCTAACCGGGAAAAACGTCCGTAACGTACCTATGTAAGATTTTTATTATTTGTGTATAGTCTTAGTATGATGGTTAAACAGTGCCTAATGTATAATCTACGTGATGACGGTTATTATTATTATTCATATAAATAGCTGTTTCTTTGTATATTATTATTATATATTATTTATAAATCATTATGAATAAAATAACGTTGATAACTTTGTAAAATATTTTTTTTTTTTCAATAAAAAAATCATAATAAAAATGTATATCTGAATATTTTGTTTATTGACTGGTTTATACGTGGAGACAAGCTCAAGGTCCGTTTTGAGTTAATGTCCCCTGGATGAGATTGCAACTCCTTTTAGATCAGAACATAAACCCGTCTAGTAAAATAATCGAGTTACAACCTGCACAACAACTGGTACTTTTCGAACTTAAGAAAGATGATGATACGATGATCCTTACGAGTTAGCACACAGCACCACGTACAGAAAAGACTATTACAAATATTGTCAACAAAGTGAAATAAATTGGTGAAAGCGTTTCTTTCCCTATAACCTTAAAATCACTCATTTTATACCTCACAGCTATTTAGTTTTGCTGTAATGCAAATATCGATAATTGCACAGCAAGTAAATTATTTTTGTTGTTGGTGTTGATGGGCAAAATAACTCAACGACTTTTGTATGGGCATTTAATTATATCGTCATTGACGTCATTGATTGGATGCCGACTACCCAACCTTATAAAGTAAGAGTATCTATAGAAGAAGGCTAAGCCAGCGTATAAAGTAGTTGACGGTAAAACGCTATTAATAGGTTACTTTTAATGATCTGTTTGCTAACATGAAGAACACAGGACTATTCAACTTGGAGTTTTAGTTCGTATCCACAGCATATTGTGTAGCTTAATCGACATACTAACTCATATTTCAATTAAGCATCGAAGAGCTATTATATTGTAAGGAATGTTGACGTCACAATCCACGACCTTTCTTACATGTTCGGTCCACCCCGCGTAGAGAGCAACAATATCAGACTTACATCATAGACCACACTCAGTTGATCCTCATAAACATAATCACTGCAAGCCAACGTTCTGGATGTGTCGAACAGATTTGCGGGACAGGTCCCCTCGGTCACGGGCGGCTGGTTGGTGCTGTTCGCATATTTATTGCAAGCATCGAAAGAAGTTGGGCTGGTTCCTGGAATAGCATTCAGAACCCAGGCTGGAGCGAACTCTGGGTTGGCGCTATCGCACTGGGGGATCAGGCACCTGGAAGGTGATTGAGTATGTTGTAATGTTATCTGATAGTGCTTTTATTATTGTAGACTAGCTCACGGCCCTCCTCATGTGAAGTGGTTCCCTAGGAGACATTAGATGTATGTGTTAACTGGAAAGTATGATTGCTTTGCAACAGAAATAGACAGGATAGTTTTACCTACGCGTGCGGACTCAACACACACACACATACATTGGTAATTATGTAAATTAAATTTTAAACGATCTGACGTCAAAATTAGCAACACCGCCACATTGGACATTGTTGCTGCTTACTGCTATCACTTAATAATCAAACTTCACGTGAAGAAGACATTTTATAGCGCTCAGTAAAGACAATAAGCCCTCCCGTTCTCCATCCTGTTCCCGTTAAAAGGAAGGTGATGACAATACCGATGGCAACACAACGCCTGTTACGATACCAGTGAAAAATGAAAATCAAATCTTTAGGACCTAGCGGCAATACTGTCTTTACCATAAGGGCACACGGGGCCCGTGCCCAGGGCCCCCATTCTCAGGGGGCCCCGAAAGACGACAATTTCTCTCACACGTTTATTCTCAAAACATTTTTGTCGGGCACATTACATTTTTTTCAGAAATCAGTAATCAGAAGGTATTTACAAGAAATATACTATGCCTATAATAGAAGATTTTGCTCAACAGAAATCCCGAAAGAAACCGTTATCGAAATCGTAACCCAAAAAACATTAATATCATTAATGACATATTATATCACACTGTATTTGATTACCTATAATAAATGGTCATACTCAGTATTTTTTTTAATTATAATTCGCTTTTTTTACTTTCCAAAAGGGCCTCAAATTCTTGTGTGCCCAAGGGCCCCATCCTAGTTTAGACGTCCCTGCCTAGCGGCTATATTCTACAACGTGACATGCCTAAACAACGATAAAAAACCGAGTGAGTGATATGTGAAAGACATGGATCACCGTCATCACCACATTATTAATGTTGTGGAGTCCGCCAATTATTTGATATTATTTCGTATTTAATTCTGTTAAAATATAAAGCTGGGTGACCTCAAAATGCGATTGGCACGCGACTCATAGATTGTGTTGGCGCTTTTGTTTATCAGTCCACCCGTTCTAGTGGTGATCTTAATTCGGTAATTGATAACAATAAAGATAAAGCGAGTAAAATTCAATCAATTAATAAAGATAAGTATTTACATATTATATTTTATCGTAATTCCTTATATCGTTCAACTATTTAATAAAAATTTCAAACCCTTCATCTAAGGTATAACATAAGAAAAAATACATAGTAATCCATTTCCATTTTTCATAATCATTTCAAATTTAAGAAATATGTTTATTTATATTTAAGAAATAAACATTGTTCAACAATTTATAAATCAGTATATACGTACATCACACACATATTTCTTAACCATCTGTTTAAAATCTTTGAAATTATTTATCATATTTATGTACAAACAGTCTGCAGCGAAGATATTATGCTCGCGTCATCTGATTGTTTGTGTCAATGAAAGTTCAGTTTTTTTTTTTTCATGTGACAGATTTACAATGGTAAATCAGGAATGGTGAAAACGTTGCTGCCGTTTTTAGCAACGAAGCCATTTAAGATACGCTTGTAAGGGTGTAATGTATTGTAAATTGATCAATAATAAAACTGGCTTTTTTCTACCAATTATTTGTTTGTTCTGCATGATCCACATGATGTTACATTTGTGCCGCGAAATATTCATGCTATTCGTTTAGTATTGTACGATGTATATGTTTCCAAAAACTACAACACACAGACGAATCCCAGATTGGGTTTATTCAATGAGAACTATTTAAGTTTCATTTTACCGCTCTTTTGATGACACGTTCCTTCTCTCTCCGTTCTAAGCTAAGAATATTCCTGCCCTTTAATCACAGGTTGAATAATGCATATTGGTTTTTAGTAATCAAACAACGATTACCTTGTGTTAATCCTGGCGGTAGTGAATATGTACTCCCCCGCAGCGAAGGCAGAAAACATGATAGGAAAAGCGGCCAAAAGCAATGTCAAGATTTGATATTTGCCGAACTGACCAATCTCGTCCACCAATATTTGATCCAAGTCGACCGCTTCATGTTTCTGACCAGATTCTGCGTTTGTCATTATATATTTTATTTTTTAGTTTAAAACAAATCAATTTAAGAGACCCCGTATTGCAGGCGGTCTCTTTCAAGAATGCGACAAGAGTATTTTAAACGTTTTAGAACACCTGTTAATAAGTGTTGTGCTCTTGCTACTGGCTTATCGACAAATTTGTACCAAACGGAGAACAACATAGACTGAAAAAAAAACGTATCTTTTAAACAAGAATAATATCTTGATATCTTAAAGGTATTAAATACTTTTTAGTTTAAATAATAATGTTTCATTTGAATACGTTCCGGTCAGAGCCGTGCTGGATGATCTTCGGGGTAACGAAGCTTTTTTTTTTCCTACCTAACCTGGTGGCCGTAGAGATCCATGCTAGCGTTACCGAACGAGTAGGTGAGCTCACGGGGCTCTAACCTGGTGATGTTGCTAACACTAGCCCTAGCAAGAGCAGTGCTTCGCAGAATCTACCAACGGATCGGAATCGCGACTCACTGAAAAGATCCGGCGAGAAACTCGGTGGGCGGTGTCTGTGGGTTAGTTTACTCGCCGAACCCTTCCTCGCAAGCGACGGGTTCGACGAGAACGGTGTAGTGTGTAAGTTAGTAGTAAGACAGTCTGAAATATAGCGTTGTGCAACTAAGGCGCGCGATATTATATCCCGCGAACCCCGCACTCCGCGCACACTATATCAGTGACCGGATGAAGCTGATGACTTAGATATGATGGAGGATTTTTTACTTTTCTTTTTCGGAGATATTGCTCATTTTGTTATCAACAGTACCCTTTTTTTTCAGGCTGGAGGCCGAACCACCTACGAGGTCCCCGCGTATGTGGTGATGTGGGATTTTACGATCTGCTGATGTTGGGAGCAGACCGCGGGCCCAAGGAGTTTTAACTACAACCAGACTCGCGGCGCCACGGCGACTCGGGTATCCCTTTTTTAGATAGCCCATGAATTCAACTATACTTTTAGATCTTCCTTAATGATGAGCGCCGTTTCCTTTATGGTTTGTTTTCCGATGGAACACATCGCGGCACGTCACACTATTCCGGGCATTATGATTTAAATATAAAAGTACATACGTTATTTTAATATTTTTATTTTATTTTAGAACAGTGATACCTTCGTACAACATAATAGTTTAGGTAACTGACATTCAATATCTCAGCTACAACTTATTTACACTAATAAGTTAATAGCAAACCACTTACTCTGTACATATTTGATTAATAATATATTTATTATTAATAAAACTCCATTAATGCTCCATTTAGATGGACACTGAAATGATTTATAGTTAAAATATTACTTCCGTACAATTTTGTTTCATTTTGTTAAATAGAACATAATGATATACTATTACAATTTTAATTGAGTTACTTATATCAAATCGACTAAAAAAAACAGAAGAATTTGCAATGTTATGAACCGAATAGAATTAATAAAAAAAAATTAATACTGTTCTAATTAAAAAACGAAAAAAAAACACAAAGATATTTTGAGGTTTGTTTGTTGTTTGTTTGCGAGGAATTCATTGAAAATTCTTAAAATTAATAGGGCCGCAGGTGACCTTAAGCAATTTCAGACATTATGTGGTTGCTAAATGAAATTCAAGCCGAGACGAGAAGATATCACCTCACTGGTGGTAGGACCTCTTGTGAGCCCGCACGGATGGGTACCACCACTCCGCCTGTTTCCGCCGTGAAGCAGTAATGCGTTTCGGTTTGAACTATACTAACTATACGGTTGTAACTATACTGAGACTTTAGAACTTATATCTCAAGGTGGGTGGCGCATTTACATTGTAGATGTCTAAGGGCTCCAGTAACCACTTAATATCAGGTGGACTGTGAGCTCGTCCACCCATCTAAGCAATAAAAAAAAGAAAAAGATATATCTTCCACCTTTATCGCCGTTGCGAGGCTTCAGCTGGACTGTCTCACCGGTCAACCCTCGGGCAGGGAGTGGGGATGTCTACACTGTCAACTGTCACAGTTGTGGTCCTTTCAATGAGAACTTCATTGAAATCGCTAAATCTCGTTATATCGACATCGTATTAACATATCCACACTATAACGGGGTTATTAATTCCATCATTGTAAATTAATTATTATCAAGTAATTCCAAGTTGCTTTTTATCTGAGATAAGTATTACCTTTCAATTGATCCACATATAATTTAGATAATGAATTTGAATTGCGTCTGAAAATTAGTTGATAAATTTATTTAATGACTTCTTTTTTAGTTACAACTTTACCGGCATCGTCTTCTGAGCAAATTTTTTATTTAATAAGAAACTTTCTATGGTTCGTATGGCGTAAATGGGTAGACCTACCAGACCATTCAGTGTACGATAAGGGATTATTGTAGGCTATAGATACCGTTGCTCATCTTTCAACAATACTAATTTCTTCGACATATCCAAAATAACCGCTTTAACGGATCTCATGATAAGTTCGCAGAAGACACTGTAGTGGTGGTGGTGTCAACTGTTTTTCTTCGTTTAAGAATGCTCTAAAAAAGACAAAGTCGAATTCACTCAGTTTCACTATCAAATATATTTCTCTCCCTCTTCACGCCCATGCTGGAATCCTTCATTCTCAAACTGTTCAGCAACTTCAACACCTGGACTCTGAACTCGAACTTTGACCTCTCAGACAAACTCGAGACGGCAGACGTTATGGAAGTGAAGAACGCTCTATCCTCGTTTTCTTCGCGCTGCACCAAGTTCATGAGAAAATGAGCTATGCTGTTCTCGTCTTGTGGATATTCTAGTTTGGGTTTCTTGGGTGGTGGATCCTCTACAGCGCTCTCGTCAACGTACACTTCGTTCAACCATTCTATTGAATCCTCAGTTGCGTTGTCCTCGTCTGAGAGTCGACTGTCTACTTTTTGGGACGACTTAGTTTTGTAAACGAACACAGCATCAAGAAACTCCAAAGCCTCGGCGTGTATGTACGGCTTCACCCGGTTCCTCCCCATCCTCAGTGACTTAACGTAAGCGTCTCGTATGTTCGTCCATTTTTTTGACATCAGTAGAACTGTGAAAATGTTATACTTCATTGTTATTTTGTAGACGTATGCCATGGTAAATTACGTCTTTTCGAAGACCAATACAAATCAGTCTACACTAATGCCACGATTGAGCTCTTACTTTTAATGAGCTGTAAATAAGTGGTATCCGGAGTCCACAGGCAACACACAAGTGAGCGCCTGCAGCCAGCCGCTAGATGAGGTCCAAGTATGAAATGCATTGTAATAAAAGCCTCAATATGAACGAACGATGTACAATGCAGAAACGGGCAGGATGTGGTATCCAGTCGCGGGTACTCTACACAATTACAATTGCGGGTACAATTGTAAACGAATGAAACAATAGGAAATAGTAACGCAATTGAGAATTCGAACTCATATCTCAGGGTGGGTGGAGGTATTTACGTCGTGATGTCTGTGAGCGGCAGTAAGCACCGCGGGCCATAGGAGTCGTGAGCTGGTTCACCGAGCTGAGCGCAGAAAGAGATATATCATTCAAATTTAAGAAGAGCTTACCCGACTTATTCTTATGCTTGTTGTTTACTCTGTGGAAGTTAGAGTCTAGCACCTCACAGATCTCCTCCCAAGCCTTCAGCCTGTCGTACTTGTTCCTATACTCTGTACATCTCCTGTCCCACAAACATTTTCTTTCACGAACTAACCCGATCAATTCTATGGCTTCATTCTTCGCTGGTACAACACTGAAAGGGATAGAAATGGTTTCTGTTTTGAGCGAAATGTGACTGCGGTTTTACCGTTCCATGTTTATAGGAGATCATTCCGAAGATTCCATTTAATTGATTAAATCATGTATGACACGCGTAATGAGGATTATAAACAGTTTATTCAATAGAGTCAGGTAGTTTTAGTGTCAATACATAAAATTCTTCATAGGATCAACTAGGAGACACATATCATTAGAGATAAGGTGCACATTGTGGACATCAACAACAACCGGGTATACAAGTCTGCAGTTTGTCTACATGCTCCGGACGGTGAAACCTACTAAATATTTTATAAGGTTTAACCAGATGGGAATACGAAAATGAATTAATTCCATGGTATGGTACGAGAAGGCATTGAAATAAAAATGCCCTAATTTTAATGAAAAATATGGTTGGCGTTTATCTAGCATCTCTTTTTATGAAGACGAGACCTCTAATCAAACTAAACGCCAGAATTCAAGATGCCTTTAGTGTTTGGGTCGCAAAACAAACATTTTGAAACACTAATTACTAATTAAACGGCAGTTATCATACGGCAATTATCATAATATCCAAGTGTCGACAAGTTAGTCTGTGAGCACGCAACAGTGAAGTGTTCTGTTAGTTCTGTTTCATTACAATTAATATACAACAAAGTTGGTAAGCAAAGGCATATCTCATAATATTGAAAGCGTGTTTATATATTCTATAATTAAATTATTATATATAAATCATGCCAAAGATCTGGCAGCTACCTCGGGCAAAAAATTAGTATAGCTATTCAAAGGGGGAACAGTATTAATTTATCATGTTTTACATATTTGTTGATTGCGATAATGCGGCATCCTTGATACATAAATTATATGATTTGATTATCAGTTCTACTAAATAATATTTCCATAAATAATTACTTCTACAATGAACAAGACCACAAATTTGACTACTAAAGAACTTTGCCTGGACTCTTGAAAGTCAAAATGTTGTGCATAAAAGTAAAACTAGTTTGCTTCACGAAGCAAAGATTTATTAAATGTCTTTTCAATGATTTTTTTTTAGTTAATTATGATGTCATGTCATAATACCTTTATTTAAATCTGGTAGTACTTTTGACCCCTCTAACTTTAGGCCCATTTCAGTACTACCTATATTGAGTAAAATTTTTGAAAAAATTATTCTGGAACAACTTTTGAACCACTTCAATTCCAATAACCTGCTTCATAACAAACAATATGGATTCACTAGAGGTCGGTCAACTATTGATGCAGGTGTAGATCTCATTAAAAATATTTTTCAGGCTTGGGAAGAGTCGCATAATGCCCTTGGGGTTTTCTGCGACTTATCTAAAGCTTTTGATTGTGTTGAGCATAATACATTGTTGAGGAAATTACACCATTATGGTATTAGGGGCGTTTCATTAGAACTTATTAAATCTTATTTATCCGGAAGAATCCAAAAGGTAGACGTTAAAGGAACGAGATCTTCCGGTGTCTTACTTAATATGGGTGTTCCTCAGGGTTCCATATTGGGTCCCTTCCTATTTCTTGTATATATCAATGATTTACCTAAGTTTATTGAAACCCGTCACGAGGTCGTATTATTCGCTGATGATACATCATTATTGTTTAAAATTAAACGACATTTGGAAGATTATGACGATGTGAATGATGCTATCTCGCGCGTGGTACATTGGTTTAGTGTTAATAATCTGTTATTAAATAACAAAAAAACAAAATGTATAAAATTTACCACACCTAATGTTAGACAAGTTGACACTAATATTACTGTAAGTGGAGAGACACTGGAGCTTGTGGATTCGACAGTTTTTCTTGGTATAACAGTTGATTCCAAGCTGCAGTGGGGTCCTCACATATGCAAGTTAGCGAGTAGGCTTAGTTCTGCAGCGTTTGCGGTAAAAAAAATACGAATGTATATTAATGAAGATACGGCACGCCTGGTTTATTTTAGTTATTTTCATAGTGTTATGTCCTATGGCATTTTGCTATGGGGCAATGCTGCCGATGTCGAAACGATTTTCATCCTGCAGAAGAGGGCTATTCGTGCTATTTATAATATGCACCCGAGGGAATCCTTGAGGGACAAGTTTAAGGAAATCAAAATTCTAACTTTAGCGTCCCAATACATTTTTGAAAATTTATTGTACGTGCGTAAAAACATTGAAGAATTCCCCAGAGTCTGCGATTTGCACAATGTGAACACTAGGAACAAACATAGGCTTGCGTTGCCGGCGGCTCGAATTAAGAAAATAAGCAACTCTTTTAGGGGGCTGGGTGTACAGCTTTTCAACAAGATCCCACTAAACGTTCAACTACTACCTGTTCATAGATTTAAGAAAACTGTTAAGGAACGTTTGTGCAACAAGGCATATTATAAAGTTAAGGATTATTTACTAGATGGCACTACGTGGGAATGAGGCGCTCGCTCCTGGCCTTTTCATTTTTCATTATTATTATAATTTTTTTAATTGTATTTTTTTGACTTGTTTTTTCTTTTATTGTGACTATTTCTATTTATTTAAAAAAAAGAAAATATTTGAGAAAAAACAAAAAAAAAAAGCCCGCTGAGTTTGTTTCGCCGGTTCTTCTCAGGACTGTGGCTTTTTTTGAAACCGGTGGTAGAGTTAACATTGATATTTGGATTTTGACATTCAACAAGTGTGTCATACTGACATCTAAGTTGAAATAAATGATTTTGAATTTGAATTTTGAATTTGAACATGCCAGGTGCCAGACGTGGTCCGCGATCCCTCGAGCCTACAATTCCCTGGGGTCAATTCATTTACAGTTGTATGTATTCAATTATTTATTAACCGACTACAAAAAGGAGCGGTTCCCAATTCGATTGTTTTTTTTGTGTAGGTATTACGTCAGAACTTTTTACTAGCTAAACCGATTTTATGATTATTTTATTTGAAGCCTTGTGGCTTAGTAGTGGTATTATAGTGGTTGCGCTGATGATGTATACGCGGAAGAACTCGTTAGTTCCTCGATTTCTTCGAGGACTGGAGTAGGATTCAGGAAGGTCCTGGCGGTGCGAACGGTAGTATTTAACTGACTTTGACTATATTAATGATATTCTCATTTTATATTCTTGTGGTCAGTTTTGTTTTTTGTTACAATGCCCTATTATAATTGTCAGAGCATTGCATGTGTTGTGTTATCGTACCCTGCATATGAATAGACACTTCAGGCACTAGATCCGACGTCAGCTACGAAACGTCTTCAATAATTATGTTCTGCATTGATATAGTAATTAGTCTATTCACTGCATAGGTACTTCACAACCGACTTCGATACAATTCACTCATGTCTTCAGTAATAATTAATTGTCAATATTTACTTTATTAAAATGAATAAGGAATGCTTTTCGTTATGTTTAATTATATAATTTATTGTAGATTTTATGAAAAAATATAAATACAGTGTTTACTTTTCAAATATTTAATGCTCATTACAGGCACACGAATAGTGGACAATCTGGTAAATACAATGAAGTCACTTGGTATCCTTTTTAAATCGCAAGCGGCTACGACCTGTATAAATTGTAAGCCACAGTGCGATACCATGTCACTTTCTTTCTGCTAACCTTGCCCACAGAGTTTCTCGCCGGATTTTCTCAGTGGGTCGCGATTCCGACCCGGTGGTAGATTCTCCGAAGAGCTGCTTTTGCTAGGGTTAGTGTTACAACGCCCTCAGGTTAGAGCACCGAGAGCTCACCTACTCGGTAGGTTATGCTGGCTTAGCCTGACAAGGCTATCTATCAGCCTTAGCCAGCAGGTAGGAAAAAAAGAAAAAAAATCTGCAACATTGCCTCTTTCCAATATTTTAAACGTGAAAATTTATTAGAATGTATGGATGTATTTTTGTTACTCTTTCACGCAAAAACTACGGGATGGACTTTGATGAAACTTTACAATAATATAACTTACACATCAGAATAACATATAGGATATAATTTATAAGGATGTAGTGTAAATTACCCAAAATATAACAATAAGTGTGAAGTAAATAGGAAAAAAACTGCCATCTGCGAGCTATTCCGGCGTGCACGGCAAAAACCGTTGATGTTAGACGTATTTAATATAGTATGGAAATGTTTATCTTAAATAGTTCTACAAAAAATTCCGCAACAACATATATATCTATACTTCATGTATAAACCATTATCGCCACAATAGTGAATCATAAATAAATAAATAAATTAGATAATTTATTTCTAACGCACATTCGGTAGTAATAAAGTGATCCTTATATAAAAAAAAAAACTTTTATCGCATCTGGTACAGGTGTAAAGAAGATAAACTATGTCTTTTTGGACATTTGGACAAATATTTGAATACTTACGCTTTTAAACAACCGAATGCGCGATATTATGGTGCGGTCCGGCGGCGGGTGAATGGGTGGGGCGTGCTGGTATAAGATTGGCAAGTTAAATTGTTGTCGTTTGATTGTGTCAGGAATCGCTATCATTGGGCTTTGTTTGAATATGTACACACACGTCTTCACCAATAATACAATTTGATTATGATTTTGTTTGTTTGTTTTGGGTTATGATTTTCAATTGCCCATTTTCGAGATGGGCTTTAGAGCTATATGGTATTTACTGACTTAAAGTAGTAGTTAGTCTTTCAGACTTTGTCAATAAATATATAAAAACACCTCGGTACATCGCTAGACGTGCGGCTGCCTTGGATGCGAGCGACGACGACGAGACGCAACCCTGTCCATCGACAGCCACGACTACTCTGCCAAGAGTATCCGACTAGGAAGAATATAAAAACGCGTTATCTCTAATACACTTCATCATTCTCGCTGTGTTTAGTTAAGCTCTTCTTATTGCCCAACGAACTTTTATACATTTTATTGAGCACCGCTCTGTATAACCATTCTTTTGCGTAATCCTTTTCAGTTTTCCCCTGTTGGATCATGCTTTCTTTATACTGTGAGTACATGAGGGACTTGTTCAGATCAGTGCCAGGCTGCCGACTTTTTTTCGTCACATTGCTCTTGTATATCGGATGTGCAGTGACGTGTTCTTTTATTGACTGGATTGTGGATTCCGGGATTTTGTTCGCCGGTTGGTGTCGCCCTCTGCGATCGCCTTCTGTAATACCACTGTCCGTCTTTTTTTCTACTGATATTTTCACGTATTTCTCTCCTATGGATAATGTGTTTAGGAACATGACTTTACACACGTTTATTTCGCGATCTTTAACCTCTAAACTGTATCTGTAGTTGAACTTCCTCCTGTCTTCTTGCCAAGAACTGTTAACTTTGGTTCTCACTTTTAATTCTTTGGTGACTCTGTTCGCGACAAACTGCCTCCTCTGTTCCCAATTATTACATTTCTTCCAGAAATCGTCGAATATTTGTTGTCTACTCGCTTCGGTGAGTCTGTCGTAACATTTCGCTCTGCATTTGCACGGTGGTTTCAGCACACGCCCTCCCATTTCCGTAACTTTCTTCGCGACATGCGAATGATATGGCAGCCCTTCTAATCTAGCTTTCTTCGTGACATTCTTCTTCCAGTTTTCTTCGTTTCGTCTTCTCTTCTTACCCTTTTCAAGTGGTTCTTCGTTTGCGTTGTTGTGGATGCTATCCATGGGTTCAAATTTAACAGAGTGTACTACTCCGACTCCTGTAGTAAGTTCTACGTAGGGCTCTATATAGTGGTAATCTGAATTCTCATACATTTTGGGGTTTAAATTTAAAGCTTCATTAGGTGTTTAATTTTTTAAGGGTTTTCGTATTGATTAATGTACAGATGCTTTTTTTACAACGATGTCTTTATGTCATGCTCCGGATTCGCATTCACTCCGCGACAAATCATATTTTACTCAGTGTCAGGGTGTACCTAAAAAAAAGAGAAGCAGTTTAATAACTATATTTTCATACAGTTTAATAACTATATTTTCATAAATCGTTATTTTTGCATCACCTTTCTACTAGGAATCACTGAATACTGAAGTTTTAAAAGGATGAGTAATACATAGGTAGCCGATTGGCTCTTCCTCTATCGTTACTGACGTCTGCAAAAAATATCAGGATGGAGTACCACCATCCGTACGGACAATTTTTGACGCGTTTTGAGGTCGCCCAATACCCTGGAAAACTTGCTTGTAACCGGGAAGATGATGGCAAGAGAACAGGGTGAAGGAGCCTGGTGCGTTGACCAGATCCGCTCGCGTTGTGAATTAGCTGCGGAATGTTGAGGTGATGAAGAGAGATAATCAGAGAGACATTGATGCCCTGGATGACCACGACCCTCAGTGATGCGGATTAAGGAAGTCTTCTGTTAAACTACCATTACATAACTTTAAAACTATTTACATTACATCTTAACTGTCGTTGATCGTGTGTCCTGATATTTCAAACACCAAGCGAAATGGTGGTTTCAGCCAAAAACGACGGTGATCTCTGACCGCTGGTTAGGCTCTAAGCTAGTCTCGTCAGAATGTATACTAAAAAAATCATGTCGAAAACCCAACAAGATTAAACAGGATTCAAAAACATTAGGTAAGAATATCAAATCAATTAGCAATGAACGTGCCACTATTTGTTCAGATTTTCTATTAATCATAATTTATTATTTATGTAGGTACATGTTCGTGAATGCTCACGGTTAGCATTCTAGTAATGCTGGATGAGTGTCGTTTTGACTTGTAAAAAATCTACTACTATATTACCATAATTATAAACGAACAACGAGCATTTATTATATTATTGTAGTTTTTCAAACTTCACAGAAATCTTATCAGGATTGCAAGGTCGCACATTTGACTTAGAAGTCAAACGAAAATCAATCCTCACACAATCACTTAGTGTTGAGTTGGTGTTATTAAATTACTCAGACATATAACCTTTTGGTTCTGAGCTGTTAAATCTTTGTAATCAGTTTTGAATATGACGTTTAAATTTTTGTTTGAACATAACAAAGTAAGTTTTCATTAGCCGCACTTATATATAAATTATAAAGTAGCATTATTCGCTTTGTAATTATCTCTTACCTTATTTCGTTAATAAATCCTTATTTCATTAAGAATTTTATTCACGAAACGCGTCTAGGCACAGCTGTGTGTTTTCACTCACTAATTTTGAAAGCGGGGAGTCCGGATAGCTCGGCCGGAGCGTGCTAATACTGCATCTCGTTCTAGCGCATGTCAAAAAGTATCTGTTGTCCCTTTCGCACAGAGCCATAAGGTCGCTTGTCGACAAAATGTCGATCGACGCAGAGCGAGTAAGTCTGATGTTGAAATAAATCGTTGTCGGATTTTAGCGCGGCGCGGCCGGGCGGCCGTGGCTTTGGCGCGTACTACTACACGTCAGAGGCTAAAGGTCGAATCTGTTATTTACATACTTAAATTACATGAATACCGTATTTTTATTATAATTAATATTATACACTTAATATTCTGTTTGTACAAAAATCTTTCTGAAATAAAGTGTGTTTTCCTTAAGCCACGTCCAGCAGTCCAAATTTTTTTGATTAATTATTCAAAAGTATGTTTTCTTTTAATGGTCGCATGTGCGTATAAAATACCTACATTAGAACCAAGAAAAAATACATATTGAATTTGTATAAGTTGTGGATATTGGACTTGATGTTTCTATTTTTTTGCATATGCGTGTCTAATACTGACTATTGCAGGAAGACAATAGATTCTTGTAGAAACGCTGCGTTGTTGTAAGTTAACACCCAGCAATGAAGCCTGCGCCAGGCATGCACCCGCGTCAACATACTTCAATATTTTTTTAAGGGATTTTATGACCTGGTAACTGAGACCTTTAAGTCATGTCTTTTTTTAATTTATATTCATATTTTTATGAAATGAAATGGGATGAAATATAATCTCAGTAAAATGGTGGTAATTTACTAAGATTTTTTCAGTGGACTTTTTGGAGGATCCCGAGAAGTTACGCAAAGCGGCTTTGTTTCATTTTCCCACATTTGTGCACTTTCACAGATATGAAATAGTTAATAAACCACCATTATTACACATTTAAACCCGAAGAAACAATAAATAGACAAAATAAAACAAATCACACAACTTCACTCCTCGCGTTCCCGCCAAAAAGTCCAACATACTTCAATATTCTGACAAAGTCACAGATTATGAGCCAACGATTATGATTGTGAGATAAATGGGGCGAATCTGCATTCTCCAGTATAAATTATTTTAATCCAAATATTTTTTTGGTATACTCGTAAGTAAGCAATAGCGAACAAAATCGAAGGAATTGTTAGCATGGTAAACATTACCGGCGTAAATACTTAGAAAAGTTAATTAAAAAATTTTTTAAATATGTATATGAGACGTCGTGGCCTAATGGATAAGACGCCCGGTGCAATCGTGTCGAGCGATGCACCGATGTCCGAACCCCGCAAGCGCGTACCAATTTTTCTAATGAAGTACGTACTTAGCAAAGATTCACAATTGACTTCCACGGTGAAGCAGTAATATCGGTAATTACTGGTGGTAGGACGACTCAGTAGGTACCACCACCCTACCTATTTCTGCCGTGAAGCAGTAATGCGTTTCGGTTTGAAGGGTGGGGCAGCCATTGTAACTATACCCAGACCTTAGAACTCGTATCTCAAGGTGGGTGGCGGCATTTACGTGGTAGATGTCTATGGGCTCCGGTAATCGCCTAACACCATGTGGGCTGTGAGCTCGTCCACTCATCTATGCAATAAGAAAATAGAATACTCTAGCAGGGCTTTGACTAGCCACCAGCTGAGTTCATTACCGTGTCGGTTCTTGCCAAGAATATGTGCTTGTTTTCGGAAACGACGGTAGAGGTAGTATTTAATATTTTGTCGTTCAACAATTCAAATTTTAATTGAAATGCCTTTCTGCACTAATAGCAGTGTAGTGGCGGTGGCGTAATGAAACATAAATATGTCGACATTTTTTAGGCGGGAGGAAATCGCGAGAATATCACTCCCACTTTTTGGACTGTCCGTACTAAGGAGGCAAATGATGAAGAACTTGGAAACTTCTGACTCCAGCAATAGGAATTAGGAAGTTACAAAAATGAATCAATAGAGATAGGCACTAGACCGTTCTTATTGAATTTCACCAAACTAAAAATTTTCAACTTGGACCCTTTTGTAAATTTTCCCAAACCATAATTGAATCATACCGGGCGTTAAATAGAAAAAGCGGTGTGATCCAAAGACGATTTCTCGATAACGATACGAATACTTTCGCGCTCGCCCCTCTGATGATCCGATATTATATGGCGAAACGGCAATCGAAACGGTCGCCCGTGTCGCTTCGACTGTTCGTTCCAACAATTTTGTTAACGTCCATTTTAGTTACTACTAACATCACTACATACCGTTTGTTTACTTCTATTTAGTATTGTTTAGTATATATTTGGAATGTTTTCAATAAATATTTGTACTTATTTAAAATCTTTGTTACTCAAATGTTAGTAGACTTACCTTTCAGAATCCGACATCCTAATCACTAATTAATTACTGCCTTGTAATGACCACTAGATAATTATTTCGTTTTCGTTTAGATTCGTTCATTATTTAACAAACAGAATGCAGTTTTAGATGAATTCGAACATGAGTGGCGTCAGAGCCGGCGGCCGTGAGACTGAGACGGTCGGGCCCCGGCCGGCGCGCCGCCGGGTGTCCGGAGCGGCAACGTCGCGGCCGCCGCGACACCCTGCGCGGCGATCCTTTCGACTGCTTTTGAGGTATTTTATGACCTGGTAACTAAAGCCTTTTAGGTCATGTCTTTAATTTAATTTATTAATTTATTCTTATTTTTATGAAAAATGATAATAGGTATGAAGTGAAATGAAGTGAAGATGATTAATTTGACACATTAATCAACTGGGATGAAATTAAATGAAACGAGATGAGATGATATGGGATGAAATATAAGCTCAGTAAAATGGTGGTCATTTACTAAGATTTTTTAGTGGACTTTTTAGAGGATCCCGAGAAGTTACGGTCCAGCGGCTTCGCTTTATTTTCCCACACTTGTGCACTTTCACAGATATTAAACAGTTAATAAACCACCGTTATTACATATTTAAAACCGAAGAAATACTAAATAGACAAAATAAAACAAATCACACAACTTCACTCCTCGCGTTTCCGCCAAAAAGTCCCTCCGCCTGCTTCCAAACGAGTTGTCCATAGATTATACAAATATACACTTAATATTTGGGGTTGTCAGTTGACGCGCGAGTCTTCATTTAAGCATTTTACTGTTTCAAGTACGTTCTGTTGTTATTATTATTAGTGTACATGGTGAATTGATGATACCGTATGTATAACAAACTACAGCATCCATGACCTTTGGAAAGTGGCAATCGGTCAATTTCGGCTTCGTATCAAGAACCACTAAAGCTGCTTTCAGACTGGTCACTGGTGGTGGGACCTCTTATGAGTCCGCACGGGTAGATACCACCACCCTGCCTATTTCTGCCGTGAAGCAGTAATGCGTTTCGGTTTGAAGGGTGGGCAGCCGTTGTAGCTATACTGAGACCTTCGAACTTATATCTCAAGGTGGATGGTGCATTTACGTTGTAGATGAATATGGGCTCCGGTAACCACTTAATACCAGGTGGGCTGTGAGCTCCTCTATCCGCCTAAGCAATAAAAAAAATTGTACTGGAACTATTCTCGAAAACAAAGACTGGCGTGCTAGGGATTCCTAGCATGTTCACAGATCAGCGTTCGAAGAATTTAATTTCATTAAAATGTTGTACCATGTTTTACCAAAAATTGCTAATTTCATAGTTTTGGGAAGCAAGCACTTGCATTATTGATCCTTAGAGTGTACCAACGCTACGCAGTAAGAAACATACCGCTTGAAGGATACCGGGTGGCCAGTGCGAACTCCACATACTATTTCATTGATATTCTATAATTTCAGAACAAAAAGAAATATAATAATCATACGGTTAATAGAAATAAAAAATACTTTATTTAATCTTAAAACTAATTAAATACCGTTTGTAAAAATATTTATTCTTACCTCTACTACATTATAATTACAATAATTATGATTACTTATATTGCGGATAAATATTGTACTACAATAGCAGTACATACTTGAATAAGATGAACAATCATCAAATGTGGCATTGTCTGCATGAGTGTCTTCGTTCATATTGACTGGCCCAAAGTGAATCGCCTGACTAGAGACAATCCTTTGAAATGTATAACGTTGGGTTGAGAAGCCAGGAAAGAAGATAGAAAGTTGAGGACACTGCTGAAGATACAAAGGGATGACGGTATTTAGTGAAGGCGGATGAGGACGAAGACCCATAGCTTCAGGATCTAATATTTCACATTTTAATTAAAAGAAATCGGAAACACTGAATCAATCAGAGTCGGAGTCCTCAGGCTGATCCCTTGACTTGATGATACCAAGTTTGGTAGCAAGAGACGCCACATTGGCTCGTACTTCTTCCTGCACTAAGTTGAAGGACATGGCGAGTAGTGCTATCCCGAAGAGTAGGTACAATGAACAGAGTGCGATAGAATGGACGGCTGCCGCTGGGTCGTCTACCTCTTGACCCTGGGAAGAAAAGGAGTTTCAACTTGTTGAAGCGTTAATGTTCCTCATAGGCATCTTTCAGGTTTTAGTTAATATTATAAGGAATTGAGACCACACTTTAATATATTCGGCTCTGTAGGCTGGTGATATTTTTTATTTATTGCTTAGATGGGTGAACGAGCTCACAGCCCACCTGGTGTTAAGTGGTTACTGGAGCCCATGCACATCTACAACGTAAATGGGCCACCCACCTTGAGATATAAGTTCTAAGGTCTCAGTATTATAGTTGATAGGCAGAAACACAAGAAGGTTTCTTCTTTACCAGTTTCGATGCTTCGAAACTATGCGTAGTCCGCTGGATTCTGAGTCTCGCGCTAAAACATGGTGTGCTAACAAAACGGAACCGATTCGAACTTAATTAGATAATTTAATGGTACTTGAACTGAATATTTAGTTCTAATAAAGACGCTCTTATTATGTACCCTTCGCTTCGTGTTATTATTCCAAACCAACCTGAGCTGGCACGAAATCACCAAAGCCTATAGTGGTGAGGGTTATGAAGCAGAAGTAAGCCGCGTCGAGGTACGCCCACCCCTCCCATTGCTTGAACAGGAATGTACCGGCTACTATGTACGAAGCCACCAGGAAAACGCACAGCCAGATCGGAACCGGCTTCAGCTGGAAATGTTAATTGCATATGGAATACTGTCGGCCACAAATGGTACGGATTGAGCATGACTCGAAAATATAACAGAACGGAGTCTCTCTCCGGGAAGACGAGAAACTCAAGTTCTCCAAAATACGAAATTTACGAGTTTATCATAATTTGAAGAGTGAGTGTATTTACTTTATATTCAACTGCTTCAGACTTAGGTACTCTCTCTTTGTATTCGTAGACACGACATATTTCAGCGTATTCTACTGGATTATCCTGTATTTATAATATTGTTTGTACATATAATACTATACCAAATAAAAATATAATGATTTTCACATAGTTCCATAAATGTCACAAAGATAAGCTATTAAGGATAATGGCCTGTGATAATAGCTCAAAGTGATGTTAATAGGAATTAACACCATTTTTACTTTGTATGGTATTAATGTCGAATCTGTATCGATGCTATTTGCTTATAATTTGAAATAATATCATAAACTGCAGCGTTTCATTTTCTTTGTTTGTTGTTTTGCTTGTGTTCGATTATCCTACCAGTGAATCATTCGCGATTCAAGTATGAATTAAATCGGTTGACAAACAAAAAGGAACACAAGTCAGTTTATTTTGATTTCTGTTTCAACTAACGTTCACTCTTACTATCAATACCCATATTAATTTGAATGAATAGGTACCTCTTCTTTAACTGCGTCCGACGGCGGCACGTACAGCTCAGACTGTCTCGATCCCCAAGCTGAAACATTAAAGGATGGTCTCAGTCTAACTGACACTGCACGCACTGATACCGCGTCCGCACCTATTCTTTCCCCATAAATCGATGGAGCCTTTCGCTTTAAGTGAAAACAATAATACGCTACTTGAAGATACTCAATGTTCTAATATTTATTGCCCATTTGACAATATCTGTGTGTGTACCCTTATGTCCTTAGTCGAGCTGGGCGTCTTGCATATAACCTGGGAGGAGTTAAAACAATTGCCCTAGACCAATTTGATTCGAACCCGAATTCAGTTGAGGGAAAGAAAGAAAGAAAAAGAAGACCCTTCACTGGAAAACCAAAGAAATAAAGTGATCGACCCGTCTGTGATACAAGGGCCATATTAATTATCATCAACACCTCGACAAGTCAGTAAACAAACGCCAGCTTACTCATACCTTGTGCTGGTCGCGACCTTCTCGGTACCACTTCATCACTCCATTCATCTCTATCGGGTGATGGACTCTGAAACGATATGTTACTTATTTAAAAACTTAAGCAAATTGTCACAATATCTGAGATCTATTCAGTTATTCCCCCTACCTATTCTCTGGTAGACTAGGGAGCTATTCCAGCTTCTCACGGACGGGTAGGTGAGCTCACACCTGAGAGAGTTTGCTAACACTAGCCCTAGCAGTTACGAAGTGGACCTATTATTTATTTGATAAAATAAGCTAAATAAAGTGTGCTGTTGACTGGTAACCAGTATACAGATACCATGGCAAATGATATTGTCTTCAATATTACAGTGTTCGGGAGCTTGCTTACATATCTGTGATGTATTCGTGGACTATCATCAATCGTCTGAAGTCTTCGTAATCGTCTCCCCCGACCAGCTTCATAGTCTCTTCTTTCTTCCCTCTCTTCTTCCCATTTCTGCTCGTATTCGTAAATAGCACTGCGAGCCCTCTTCTGTCGTCTTTTGTCCCACCCGTATTCCTCTCTGTCACGTTCATAGTTCTCTGAACGACCACGATCTGATCTTTTAAACATTAAAAAAAACACATTGAAGACGGGAGAGTCTAAGCACAAACGGTCATAGACTACTTAACTCCGTTACTATGCCTATGTTGGAGCCGAGACGCCATGCGATACGAACTCTAAAGCTTTAGCAAATAATTAATTTAATTTATTTGTACCAGATATTGCCTAATTTGTACGTTATAATGACTCTTAAGATAAGGATAATAGAATGGACTGGACTTGACTAGGATAGGATCAGACTTTTTTGTACAGTCACTCACAAACAAGACAAGCATAAATAAATAGATCTGTCTATAAATTCTTACGTAGCTACGTAAAGGCTTCTACAATGTCTACAAACCTCCATTCAGGCCTAGGTCGTCTTCTAGGACTGTCAAATTCAAAATCTTCATCTTCAGGATCATACCCTCTGTCTCTGTACCCGTAATCATTATCTCTCCTTCTTTCTATTTCTAAGGCTTTCCTCTCTTTGTAATTCTCATAGTCCACTTCATACAGGTCGTGCATCTCAAACATATCCTTACCATCCTCAATCTCATAGTATCTATCATCAATCTCTCTTCGTGGACCAAAGTCTGGCTTTGGTTTGGAAGGTCGGGGTAATGATTTACTTCGGATGTCCGTTTTGGAAGTGAATTTCTTTTGGTGGTCTTCCAATTCTTTTAATGCGGCTTCTAGGTCTTGGAGCGGTAAAGCAATCCTTGGAAAATCTGTCGGAATAGCATTTAATTAGTAGCCACTTTCACTACGGGATTACAACTTGCTTCTAACATAGTGTTTGTAATGCTACTTCCATAATCCTAGGTATTAAGCTTATAGCAATCATTATTCATCATTATCCTGCCCTTCTCCCACTCACGTAAGCTTATAGCAATATTGTATGTATTTTCAAACTTTGTAAAAGTGTATGTTTGTGGAACGAGACATGTTCACGGCTTCCTAGCCATGAGTTGATAACATGCCATGCCATGTCATGCCATGACGTGAAATGACAGTGATAATGTTCATACTAGTAGATGACCGAGCTTTGCTCGGATTTTTTTTTAATAAATTGTGTTTTTTAGAAATCATATTTACATACGAATTACATATTGAAAAAATGATGAAATATGAATAATATTTTTCGATCTTACCGACAGAATAACAAAAAAATATGAACTGGTTATATTAAGAAAAAATCAAGATAAAGTTGATTATTGAAAATACGAATAAAAAAACATTTTCTGAAAATAAATCGTAGCTAGATCGATTTATCGCCCCCGAAATCCCCTGTATATGTACTAAATTATATGAAAATCGTTGAAGCCGTTTCCGAGATTCAGATTATATATATATAAATATATTGCACGTTTAAAGATATGGTGATGATGATGATGATAATGCTATGTCTTGCATTATCATCAGTCTTCTGATGACATACATACCTTCGTCTTCTTCTGGAAGCTCTCTGTTACGTGCTGGATGCCGCTCGTAACGGACCGGAGAGTTATCTTCTACATCGAACTCTCTTGCACCTGTAATTAAAACACAATGCAATAAATATTGAGTATTTGCTACAAAGTCTTACTGAAAAATTTTCAATTTCCCAAGATTTTCGCCAGTCGTTGGAATTCCCGGGAACAATGTTATGATTTATCTACCAAGTCTGCCGGGTCAGTTAGTAATGTTATAAATAATTTTTTTTCTGTGTTTGGCTCTTAATCGAATAAAAGTGGCTGAACTGACTGGGAACTGCGTTGGAAGGGTTTGGACCGCCGCTAAGCTAACCAGTTGACCCTTACTCCCTCCAAGGGGGTAGCATCCACATTGTGATGTTTGATGGCCCCGATAACCGATTAACACCAGATAGGCCGTCATCTTGTTCCCCTACTAAGCAGTAAACCAAAGACATGTCTCGCGGTTTGTCACGCACTTTGAATTTGTAATTGAGACATAATGGAACACGATCAATTCTCGCAAGACAAAGAGTTCCAGCACTCGATATACAGTACGGACATAGTATATTTATTTTTATTTATTTATTACACTTCATGTAAAATTTACATTGGCGGACTTAATGCCTAAGGCATTCTCTACCAGTCAACCAAAGGTAGTGCAGAGTGAATAGTGGTAGGTGCAATGAAATTTATATTAATTTACAAATACATACACAAAAAAGTATATAATATAAAAAAGTATACCTACATATATACACACATACATACACACATGCATACATAAATACATACTTACATATATACATCATCGACGTGATCCAACTCGTATCGTTCGCCGTAATCACAAGTAGTTATACAAAAATATTACCATATCCTCTTGCTAGTGTGGGTGGTTGAGATCTGGTCCTAGCGTTGTATGGGTGCGGCAAGGATGGCGGTGGACGAGACCTCTTGACTCTGCCGCTGCTGTACCCACTGTCGCGGTACCTTACAACGACCACAATACGCTGTACAAGATTGTTAGTAAATTATGTATATTTTACTACTTTAGGATTGAAGGCATGCTATATTAACTTATTCGATTGGTTTTTTTTATTCCCTTTGTAGGCAGACTAGCATACGGCTCACCTGATGGTAAGTGGTCACCGTCGCTCATGGACGTCAGCAATGCCAGGGGCAGAGCCAAGCCGCTGCCTACCATTAAAACTGAGTTTAGTATGCATTTAAATATTACCTGCAGTCAGTGTCCGAATGTGATCTTTCAAGAGGAGGCTTTTTTCTTCGCGTTGAACCTCGTCCACTGCCACCGCGCACTGAACGCCTGGTGATCAATGTTAGCAAATATTTATGAATACGTTCTGCTAATACAAGAACCACTGACATTAAATCCTTTTTTATATCATTTGACGATTTTTGTGATGAAAACTAAAAGACCAACATGAAAAATAACACGGATGCTCTGACAAAATCTTAAATAAATTAACTGGTTGCCAACTGCCAGGGCCGGATTAAAGGGAGGGCAACCGGGGCCAAAGCCCCGGGGCCTCCACAAACGGAGGGCCTCCACAGCAGAATTTTGAAAACAAAAAATCTTTCAATTTCCGACAAGTAAAAACTAGTAAACATCTTTCTTTCCTCCGAAATTTAATTTCAGATAATTCTTGTCTCTAATTATATTTAATTGAAATTAACCAAAAGCATATTAGCATTCTGTTTGTCATGAAAGATAACTGGGCTTTTAAAATAAGTTAATAAAAACTTCTGATTGATTCAGCGAAGAACTGGTCTTGCTAGGGCAGATGTTAGCAAAGTCTGAACCACCAGTATCCTCAAGCCGTACCTCGTGTTGGCGTGGTGGTGTCTGCTCTTGCGTTTTGGTGGTCGAGTGCACACATAGCAACACACGCGCCAGTATAGGAACCTGTAGTGTTACACAAACACATTAGACTGGTGTTTCCTAACGTGGGGCCCACGCCCCCCGAGGGGGCATTTTAATAATTAAGGAGGGCAATTACACTAAATTCATATAGAAAATCTGTATTAAAATTATTTTGAATTTGAATATAAGTTTTTTATTATGTGTTTTGAAATATTACTTACTGTGTTCTGATTTTTTTCATAGTGATTTCTTCCTAAAACCTATCATTTATGTTTCTTATGTGAACAAATCACTTTTTTAATGTTTGAAATTATGTATGGGGGGCATAAACATTTTAGAAATGTTACCGTGGGGCATAGCACAAAAAAGGTTGGGAAATACTGCATTAGACAGCTTTAAAATCAATCGAGTTCGTTTTAGTGCTTAATGTAGATAAGTAAATACCTAGTAAAACATATTCATAAAGACTACGGTGAAGAAATAACATTATGAATTTGATAATTCCACTCTCCGTGTATTGTTTAAGCGTTATTGATTTTATGGATTTGATGTAGTTAATAAAATGAGGAAATACCTAAACGAGGAAGCCATGACGTCACCGATGTTGGATAAGCAGAGCAACATTAACGGAATCCCCAGGATTGCGTAGAATATTGTGAACACCTTCCCGGTCTGGGTCTTAGGAGCTATGTGACCATAACCTGGAAATAGAACACTAATCATGAAACGGAGACAACTGGTTTTTTCATACGTATTGACCTACAAGACTATAGTGAGGTGAGTTGGGGGAGATCAGGGTTTGGCGGGAGATCAGGGTTTCTTTTTTTTTATTGCTTAGATGAGTGGACGAGTTCGCAGCCCACCTGGTGTTAAGTGGTTACTGGAGCCCATAGACATCTACAACGTAAATGTCGCCACCCACCTTGAGATATTAGTTGTAAGGTCTCAGTATAGTTACAACGGCTGCCCCACCCTGCAAACCCAAACGCATTACTGCTTCACGGCAGAAATAGGCGGGGTAGTGGTACCTACCCGTGCGGACTCACACGAGGTTCTACCACCAGTAAAAAAAGTTTTTCAGCCAATGCTCCCCTTAGTAGGATAGCACATCGGCTCTCTTAAGTCTTCTAATCGGATTTGGCTGCAAGGGCATACTGGATAGCGGTTATAGGTGAGCTGTCAAGTGGTCCTTATAGTTGGCTGAGTATTGTTTAACTTCGTGCAATATCGTTGGAACTTCCAGATACTCGTAAATTTCCGAATTTTAAGTATACCAAGGTGTCAATTGTATTTAGAAGATATTGTTTTAGCTCTCTGGGGGCACAGAATGTTGAATTTGTTGGCTCTCGACCACACGTGGATTCCATATGTCCAGATCGGTGTTATCATAGAGCAATAAACGCTTAGCTTGTTGGATATAGTTAAGGCACCCCGGGAGTAATGAAAGTCATTACTAATCCTACGTACCTACCCACTCACTAAAACGTTATCTAATGTTTTCTGCATAGCGAGATATGTGAGCAACCTTACTAAAATAGAAAAAAAACAGCTGGTCAATCAGTCATTCAGTTGTATCGACCGCGGTTTTGATCAGGTCTTTTTTTTTCCTACCTAAGCCTACCTAAGCCTTGAGAGGCTATTTCAGCGGAACGTTAACTAGTAGGTGAGCTCACGGGGCTCAAGCCTGACGTCGTTGCTAACACAAACCCTAGCAAGAGCCGTGCTTCGCAGAATTTACCACCAGATCGGAAACGCGACCCCCCAGCGAAAAGTACTGCGGTGCTATTTCAGAGGGGAAGCTCCACACGGATTTCCTCCCGTATTAGGAGGAGGAATCTCACACCCCCGATTACTCTCTTTAGTCAATCCATACCCTGGGCCAGGAAGGTTAAGTACCTGGGCGTTACCCTGGATGCATCGATGACATTCCGCCCGCATATAAAATCAGTCCGTGACCGTGCCGCGTTTATTCTCGGTAGACTCTACCCCATGATCTGTAAGCGGAGTAAAATGTCCCTTCGGAACAAGGTGACACTTTACAAAACTTGCATAAGGCCCGTCATGACTTACGCGAGTGTGGTGTTCGCTCACGCGGCCCGCACACACATAGACACCCTCCAATCCCTACAATCCCGCTTTTGCAGGTTAGCTGTCGGGGCTCCGTGGTTCGTGAGGAACGTTGACCTACA